ACAAATAAATAAAATAAATAAAATAAATAAAATAAATAAAATAAATAAAATAAATAAAATAAATAAAATAAATAAAATAAATAAAATAAATAAAATAAATAAAATAAATAAAATAAATAAAATAAATAAAATAAATAAAATAAATAAAATAAATAAAATAAATAAAATAAATAAAATAAATAAAATAAATAAAATAAATAAAATAAATAAAATAAATAAAATAAATAAAATAAATAAAATAAATTGTCACGGGGTTAAGCTGAAGGCCGTACGAGGTAATCACGATAAAGCATGGGTCTGAAGTCCTATATTACTATAAGGTAGAATCAACAACTTCGGAAATGTCAGGAGCACGGGCGAGACCGCCCGGCAGAAAAGGGGGAGAGGGGCGCTGGCAGCCAGCCGGGCACGGACCCTCCCGGGGACGTGCCGGCGAGTCGCCGGTGTCGCGGCCAAAGCATAACGGCGAAGTTAAAAGATAGGGTGAAGCTTAAATTGCACGAAGGCGCATGGAGCGCGAAGGACTTATAGGACCGACCCCGCGTGCCCGAAGGGGCACGAGGGAGGGGGGAGGTCAGAGAAGGAACAATCTTTGTTGGAAATAGCACCTTTGGTAAGAGATTTACGGAGGCTTGACAAAGGAGACACCGCATCCGGCCTGTAACCTGGTGACCACCCGCCTCTGCACCGATCGACCCCTGACAGGAAATTGCCTGAATTGCCTCCCACAAGCTGGCTTTAACCCATGGCCTCTTTGGCCCTGGGCACGTGACAGGCCCTTGTGGCCTCAGGCCCATGGGTCCCTGAGGGGAGGCTCAGCCTTCCTGCCAGACCCCCTTACATAAATCGCGTCGAAATCGTTTCGAGTCCTTGTATTTTGCTAACCGCTATTGCCGGGTATACACACCCTTTGGTATTCGGGATTGCGTTTCCTCCCGTGCGGCCGCACCTTGCAACTCTTATCGCAAAAGCAAAACAATTTGCAAGCGCCCGAATGCGCTTTATGCTGCTAATCCACGCCTCCGCCGCGCCGACAAGGCGCTTGCGCTCGCGATGGCTAACGGCAGCCATATCGTTACCCCCATGCGCCCTGCCCGCCCCGGTGCTTCCGGTCCTAGCACTGGTCGGAAGAATGCTGTTCTCACCGCGGGCAGCTCTGGGAACCCTTCGGCTCGCGCATCTGACAACTCAGCCTATCATGGCTGTCATCGAAGACACGAACGCTCCGCAAGTGCCCCTTCGAGCTGAAAGATATTTAGTGTGTTGAGCATTTTGGCGATGGATACGATGCTTATTGCTAAAAAGTTGCGTTTCGTGACCAGGGCCCTTTTGTGGTTAAGTTGGTACGAATATTAACGCCTACCCTTTTCCTGCGTGTATTTCGGGCGCTGACTTTATTTCTTCGTAGTTGCCAAGTTCTGGGGCGATGAGGCACCTGAGAATATGGATTGCTGGGCGGCCCAGTGCGAGTTCCGGAACGCCGCCGTTTTGTAGATGATTGAGGCCTCGCTTGAAGACCTTGGCGATGACCGCGGTCAAATCAACGAGGTCAGGCTGTACGACAAGCCCGAGAATAGTGTCGAGGCCATCGAAAACCTCTACGCCTTTTCTTCCAGGAAGCCCACAAAAAGCCGCGTATCCCGGTTGATATCGATATTACCTGCGCAGTGGATTCGATGCTTAGGACCCGGAAGTGCTTCGGCTGGCTGAAGCTAAGCGGCATGTATTTTAACAATCCGGTGCAACGCAAGGTCAGGTTACTTGGCCTCCAAGTCAGAAAGCGCCGTTGTGGACCTACAGGACCAGACCGGGAGTACTAGGCAATCGTTTCCCAGTTTATGGAGGCAGGAGAAGGGGACGACGACCCCGACTCCGTGGACCTGGAAAATATACAAGTATCGATGGAGTTTTTGTGGACCATCGAATTCGAGTTCGACGATTCGAGGGTTTTGGACGACTGGAGGAGCGGCGTCCTGATCGATCTCTCAGACGTTATCTTCCCTTTCGGCTATGGGAGGGACAGGCGTAGGTACTATCCGGGGGACGCCAAGTGTCTCCGAGAGCAAGGCGGGGTGTACGGAAACCCCCAGAGACCTTGACGCTGCTGAATACACATGTAGGGGTGCGCACGAGGGGAAGTGGGCCCCGGGGCTTCCATCGTCATCCTGGAAACCGTGTGGGCGGCGCCAATAGGTCTGCTCCAAATCGTAGTAAAGCTGTCGAGGTGAGCGGGGCTTGGATGCTTCACCAGGTTATTGGATTCCGGTTGGGCACAGCTCCCACATTGCGCAGACTTTCGTCTTTTCTACGTACAGGTTCCAGGAGTTAGAAATTGTTGATGTGGTAGGGCAGCCCCTTTTCGGAAACAGTAAGAAGAATAGGAATGAGGAAAGACCACGCACTAGCAAATCTGATCCATGGGGCCTGTAAACGCTGGCATCTTCCTATCAACCTCTGGGACTAGAGTATGCTCGTATGGTAGTATCACAGTAGCGACTCGCGTCAAACCTTACCACAGCAAGCCTATATCCGTCACTCGACAAGCCTCACCGCTGTCGCCTTTCTCATCGGGCTCGACGAGGTGAGAACCACGAGGCGTCTTAAAGCCGCACGCCTTGGTCTCGTTGTGTCTCTGGCGCTGACCGCCCCCGTCGAGATAGGCAAACGCCCAACGCCTTAATGGCGGCTCACTCGGGGCGGCCGTTCGGGTAAATGGAGGCGGCGGTGTTGGGCCTTTACCACGGCATGTAGGTCAACCTAGAGGTGGACATTGACGAGGAGCTCCACAGGTCCCTCGGCCTGTCACAGACTTCTTCTTCCCGGTGAGTACCTATCCGGACGCATCTTCGCGCGGGGTGATACGGCTGCGAATTCATAACATCTGCAGCCAGAGCGTTCGTTGCGACTAGACTCGAAGGTAGGCCCAAGTAAGGCATGGATGGTGAGGAAAGATGATGCCATTGATTGAAAGTTTCTTGGACACGACAACTCAGACCAGAATGGTATACGTGGGAGTTACAAAGCAGATTTCATGTGAGCTCAATACAGCGCCCAGCTTACCCGAGTCTCACAAAACAAATTCTCGGGGTAGCCGCCGCGGCGAGATTCGCCGAAGCAGGCGCTGGGCAGGCCGTGCTCGCCGACGTTTCGCCGCAACAGCAGACGGAAAAGGACATGTGCTATACGAGATATTGCAACCCCCAGGGTCGAAACCGCGGTTGCGCTCTGCAGACACGAGGCTCTCCGTGCTGGCAAAAACAGATTGATGGTAGTAGGAGCGAGCAGGCAATTCGGCCGGCGCCGACGACATTGCCCCGTGATCCTTTTGTGGGGGTTGCATGCTACCATTTGATTTGCCCGTTCGTAAAAAAATTGAAGACAAACACCGCATCACGTCATTATTGCTGGTGTAAACCATCCAAATATTTGGGATTTGGCAGCTGGCTGATCGCCCTTGTCTCTGGCGACGCCGACGTGCTGATGGTGCGACCTCGTGTTGGACGAGAGCGGTGAGCTCTAGGCCGCGACAGGAGAGACGGGCTGGATTGGTAGCCGTGGTGGCGAGCACCCAAAAGGACCTGTGCAACGTTGCTGGCTCAAGACGACGACTTATAAAAGACGGACGACGGAGCTGGATGATGCAAAGCAATAATAAAAAGACACACCAATTTCACTTCTGACCAGCCATCAGCTCTTCCCGAATCCAACAAGAGCAACAGCATCAACAAAAACACCACCACCACCACCACCCCATCCACCATGCACGCCACATTCTTCTCCCTCGGCCTCGCCGCCCTGGCCACCGCCGCCCCGACCCTGACCCTCCGCCAGGCGCCGCACTACCCGCCCAGTTCGCTATCCAAGGGCTTCCGGCTCATCGCCAACGTCACGGATCTATCCCGCGACCTCACCCCGTCCGTCCACGGCTTCGCCCTCGGCGGCATCCACATCGGCCCACCCAACAGCCGCAGCGTCCTCTCCCCACAGGCCGACAACACCTCGCGCGTCTTCTACCTCAACGGCACCGCGGCCGACCTCTCCCTCAACGCGGCCCGCGTCGTCAGCGACGCCGGCACCCCGCCCTTCCCCTGGGGCGTGCGCGTGCAGTCGCGCGACGAGTTCGACGTGCCCGCGAACCCGGGCTCGCACGCCACCTTCATCAACGGCGGGTCCAGCGCCGATGTGGGCGTCACAAGGTTCCCGGACCCGTACAGCGTGCTGGCGAACCGCAAGGACGGGCCCGGCGGCACGTTTGTGGCGTGCTACCACGAGGTGCCCTACTACCGGCGGCCGTTCGTCGTCGTCGACTACGCCTACTCGACCGTCGACCCGGCCACGCAGCTGCCCGTGGTCGAGGTGCCCGAGGGCTGCGCGCCCGTCACGCTGATCCCGCAGTGCGCCGAGCTCAACGACCTGCCCGCCGACGCCGTGTCCAGCCACGAGTTTGCGCTTGACCAGAAGTGCTACGAGGACGTGGCCGCCATCGACTGGAGCCAGTACGGCCCCTGAAGCCCGGGCCCCTTTGGTGGCTTCGTATTATGGGATGTTAATGAGGCAGACGTGAGATGAAAGATGGGATCAGCTGCACATACAAGACACACATTCCTTTGGTACATGGACATGACGCACGACATGAGAAGCGTGACTAGCTAGCATTTACATCTTAATAATATTTGCGCTTAGAAACGGTAGCAGAGAACTGCAGCACCTTCTTAATGGGTATAATCAAGGCGACGTACAAGCTACCTCTATTGTCCACCATCGACACCACCCACCACTCCTATACACCTCAGATGCCCGACGCCATGCCAGACTCGACCCTCTTCTCCTCCAGCACGCGCTTCTCGCCCTTGACGCTATTCTCCTCGTCGGCGGCGCCGGCGTTGGTGATGCCGATCTCGGCCGACGTGAAGGCGTCGGCCGTGTCGCGATACCAGGGCACAAAGTTGACGGCGCCGGCGTACGAGAGCGCCGCCACCATGAACGCCAGGGGCACCACCATGGCCAGGGGAGTGCCGTGGATGTCGGCCACGGCGCCCATGAGCGGCGGCACGACAGCGCCGCCAAAGACGCCGCCCACGATCAGCCCGGACCCACGCTTGGAGTGGCGGCCCAGTCCGCGCATGCCCAAGGCCACGATGGTCGGGAAGCAGATGGACTCGAAGAAGAGCACGATGAACATCATGGACACGCCCGCGTTGCCGCGCGTCGCGATGGCCGGGATCAGGAACACCACCACGAGCGACAAGAAGGCCAGGAACACGAGACGCGGCTTGACAAAGTGCATGAGCCCCACGCCCGCGAACCGCCCCACGGTGAAGGCGGCCTGCGCGCCCGAAAGGAGCTGCGCGCCCATGGCGGGGCTCGTGTCGGCGCGTGCCTCGGTGACGTAGTTGATGAATAGACTATTGGACAAGACGAAGAGAGACGGTCAGTTTATTTTCCTTGCATCTTCCCCCAGACAGACAAGACAAGACACAAAAACACACCTGGCTATGGCGACCTGAGCGCCCGTGTAGCAGAACTGGGCGGCGGCGGCGTGGAACAGGCGGTACTGCTTGCTGAACGGCAGGTCCGACTCGCCAGCGTGCGTCTCGGCGGCCTGGAAGGCCATGTCGGCGTCGGTGATCTCGGGGATGTTGCTCATGAGGAAGATGCCGGCCAGGATGAAGACGAAGCAGGCGATGGCCAGGTACACCCACTGCACGTTGGCCAGCGCCTGGTCGTCCTGGAAGGTGAAGAAGACGTACGACCCCATGGCGGGCGCGATGACGGTACCGATTCCATTAAATGCCTGCGAGATGTTGATGCGGATCTCCGAGTAGCGCGGCGGGCCGCACACGGTGATGAAGGGGTTGGCGGCCGTCTCGAGCGAGCCGAGGCCGTTGCCGATGATGAAGATGCAGGCGCAGAAGCCGCCAAACGACCGCGCCAGGATGGCGGGGATGCACAGCAGGGCGCCGACGCCGTACAGGAACAGGCCCCAGATGAAGACGGCCTTGTAGCTGTAGTGGCGCAGGATCCAGGCGGCGTGGCCCAGCGACGCGAGCGGGTAGGCGCCAAAGTAGGCGACCTGCAAGCCCGTGGACCGGGCGCGGTCGATGCCCAGCGTCTTCTGGAAGTGCTTGTTGAGCGTGTCGAGCAGGCCGTACGAGAAGCCCCAGAGGAAGAAGAGGATGGTGACGAGGAAGATGGGGAAGATGGACTGCCGCAGCGTCAGCTCGGCCGCCTTGGTCGGCTGGTCGTCCTTGACCTTGAGCCGGCGCTTGCTCCACCACTCGCGCGTGAACATGATGGCGGCTGGCTGGCTGGCGGCGGCGACGTGTGAGGGTGGTGGATATCAGGGTCTGTGCCAAGACTTGGCTTCGCAGTTTTAATAGTAGACAAATTGTCTCTGGCCAGCCGGTTCCTGATTTTTTTTCTTCAGGAGAAGCAAGGAAGGTATCTGAGAGAAAGGTAGAATAAAGATGGAGGGAGAGGGGGGAGTAAAGAAGGGACGGGGTGAGGGAAGTGGCCGGTCCGATGTTGGATGCGACGTCGAGAGTACATAGCCTGTCAGTGTCGTTGGTACCCATATACCTACGCACCTCCCAAGATACCGTACTCCATAGCGACCCGATGGGACAGGCCAAAGCTTGAAAGCCACGCCCACAAAACTCCCATGGGGGGGTCTCATCCGCTCTGGAGCGCCGCCTCGTCTCCTTGCAGTCGTCTCGCGCCCTCCCCGCTTCTCCAAGACCCGACGCCCTAGCTCGAGCCAGGGGTCAGGGAACTGCTTTCGGCCCTTTCGGTTTCTCTCCGGTGCGGGTCCGAGTTGGTACACGGTAGAAATCTCACTCCTTCTGGAACATTGTCCACACGTGCTAGCCTGACCTTATTTGCCTGCCTAGTCCATGTCTTGTGAACGCCACTCTTCGCAAAAGCCAATCGACAAGCCAGCCAAGGTTTCAACGGCCCCAAGACTTTTTCCCCCAGTCCCGGGGTGGTGGAGAGGCAAAAGCCCAAAAGGCCAGTCAATCTGGGCAGCATGGAGAAGAAAGGGAAAAGGCCAAGAAAACCTGCGGCGATCTGCGGGGATGCTGGTAGAAGTTGGGGAAACAAGCGGGGCCCTCCTCCTTCTGCTCATTTGCACCGACCGGAATTCGCAGTGATACCGTCACCTCTTTGTCTCACCGGCAGGTGGAGACGTGGGGTTCCAATGTCGTCCTGTCGACCAAGTATCACGCGGACAGTGCTCGAGTCTGCGGGAAAAATTGCCAGCGACGGGGGAAAAGTTGGAGCGAATCAACACCCACCTCACAAGGGAAAAAAAAAGAGAAAGAAAAACACGGCCACAACAGAAAGCGGGGAACTACGCGCACCCTCGCAAGCGCTGCACCGGCCAAACTGCCATGTCTGCCATGCCACCCACCACCATCCCTCCCCTTTTCCCCGGCACATCCATCTCAATGCCGGGCCAAGGCATTAGTAGCGCCGAGATCGCACCCTCCCTTCCCCCTCCCTTGCCGCCCGCCAAAACCCGTCGGCTGCTCCTCCCCCCCGCCGGCGCTTTACTATCTCGTGCGGGTAAACGAATAACCAAACCCTTCTGGGCCTGGCCGTTCCCGGCAGGTCTCGGTGCATGGCGCGCATGCGCACACCTGCCCCCTCCAAGCACAAACGCACCGCACGCATTCCCACGTGGAGCGCGTCGGTCCCCTTGTCGTTGGCACTAAAAGGAGGCGTGTCAGCGAGCGGCCCGTCTTCGGCCCTCTAGCCATGATGGGTACCTATGTATCAAAGAGGTGGAGGCCTTGTCAGCGAGCGTCATTTTCGAGAACTGTTGCTCTCTCTACGTCTTGGCGCCCCGTCTCTCGGCATGGCACTACCGCCGCTAAGAAGAAGGCAGGGAATCAGAACCGGGGGTTCTGCGGAGAGCACAAAGCAACAGAATCCCCACCAGGCCGCAAAAATTAGGGCCGAAGTCATGGTCTGTCAAGAATACCAACGAGTCAAGCCATGGTGCCATTTCCTTCCATCTTCCTTTTGATAAGGTGCATCCTTGGAATCCCAGCCTTTAATTGTCGCGTGGTGAATACACGGCTTGAACTTGCCACCGCGCTGCATGAACAACAAATCAAGTAGCAAAAAGGGCCAGGAGCGCAAGAAAGATAAGAGTAGTAAACGCGGCTAGTGCTAGCAACATACACGGAAAGGCTGGTATTTGCTTCGCCATAGTCTCGCCTGATACAACACAAGGCCGTCTCATCCCCACGCCTCGACGGAGCTACTCGACGACTGGCAACCGCAAGTGAATTGATATAATATTCTCCATCCCTAAAGTATGAAGCCACAAAGATCAAAAACGCCTGCTAAAATCCGTTGCCCAAGCCCACCCAAGATCCCCATATCGACAAGGCGTAACATGAGGCACTCGCTGCCGTGTTCGCAAAAAAAAAAAGAATGCTGAAACAACAAGCAAGGAAGGGAAGGATAGAGGAACAGAAAAGTGAAAACCCAATCTGCATCGCTAAACGCCCATAGGTCCCGTCAAATGCCCGATAAAACAAGGCCCATCTCACACGTCGTCGTACAACCCATGCTCATCATAACTTCTCGTTAATTCTCTGAACAGTGTGGGGCAAGTAAGGAAGAGGGTTGCGTCAAAACAAACGTCGTAACCACTTGCCGTTGCTCATTCAGTTGCTCGACGACGAAGCAACAGCGGACGGCGACGACGCACCCTCGCTTCCCTCCTTGTCAACAGTCTCAGCGACGGCCTCCCACCAGGGACCGTGCGCCTCGCGGTCCACCGCGCCCACGCGCGAGATCTCGTCCACCATGTCCCGAACCCGATCGACGAACTCGGCCAGGCCCAGTCCCGCCAGCCTCTCGCCGGCGGTGCTGGCCGTGCGCACCTTCTCGCTCGCCGATCCAGCCGCAAGCCGCGAAAGCACGTGGGTCCTCAGTCGGCCGAGCAGTAGCCTCAACACCGGCTCGCTGGGCTCGCTGCCCGTTCGCCCCGACTCGGCTGCCGCCGCCTCCATCTTTCCCACGAGCGCCCTGAGGTTCGCCTTGGTCGCCGAGGGCATTGATCGGCCCGACTCGAGCGCGGCCATGACTCCGTCCACCACGGCTTGCGACGAGGACTCGCTGCCATGAGCGGGGGACGAGTCTTCGCCCTCCTTCTGCTTCAACAGCCGCCTCTCGTCGGCAGCTTCGAGGACCGTCATGATGCGGCTGGCTTCGGTCCTCCACGGCACCCGCACGTCTCGCTTCAGCATGTTCTTGCACTGCAGCAGTATCGCCCCCGTCGTGACGATGCGCCGCGTCAGCGCCCCTGACCGCACGGCCCGCCGGTGGTCCAGGCGCAGCGTCTCGGGTATGTTGTCCAGAGAGATGGGCCCCAGGCGAGTGAATAGATCGACTAGCACCTGCGTGTAGATGCGGTCCGGCGTCGGGCGCGACTTGGGCTGGCAGATGCCCTCCGGGTCCCGCCGCGTCGCCTCGGCCACGAGCCTGCCACGTGCGGACCGCCACGACGCCTCGGCCGTCTCGAGTCCGTGTTCCTTGCGCTCCAGGGCCTGTGCAAAACACTTAGATTCGTACTGCGACGCCGAGGATAGGATTTGTGGCGCAACGAGGCTCAAGAGGTAGTTGGCGTGATCGCTCGACATGACGTCGATAAAGCTCATCAATGCCTCGAGCCTGTCGACGTAGGTGCCGTTCTGAAGCCCATTTTCCACAAGCTCTCTGACCTCATCGTCTCGCACGGGCGCGCAGAGCTTGGGCAAGAGCTGGCCCATGGTGACAAAGAACTTCTCATACGAGAAACTTCCCGTGACAAACTGTTGGTAGGCCACTTCCGTGTCCAACACCTCGCCAATGAATGTGTGCATCGACTTGCCCTGCTGCACGAGGCGCTGAAGCTTGCCGCGCAGCTCCTTGGCCACCTCGAGCAGAAGCCTAAAGTGCTCTTCTTCCTGACTCTCGTGCTGCATCGTGTCCCGCATACGCTGCAGCAAAGGTGCCAAGAATATGGCCTGTTGCTCCCTGTACTCCTCCGCCGACAAGCGGTAGTTCTTGTCGATAGACAGCTCGTGGACCAGGATGCGGTTGTCTGGGAGTAGGCGGTTCCTGGGGATGCGGACCCTGACCGTCATGTGCTTGGCCTGCTCAGAAGGCGAAGGCTCCTGGTCCGTCGAATCCTCATCCCTCTGCTCCAACGACTCGGGCGTCCCCAAGTCGCCCATGGCCGTCTCAACCGTGTAATCAGCCGCTTCCCGGGGCTTTGTGTCGCCGCTGGGCTTGATCTCGGCGCGTGACTTCCGGGCCTTGCGCACGGCCTCAAACACCATCTTCTTGCCCTGCTCGGCACCGGCCAGCTTCTTGATACGGACGAGGAGCATCACCTGATTGTCCTGGATGCTCTGCCGGTACGATTCGGTGACCGACGGGTCCGTGCTGTCCTTAACCGTCTGCCAAATGGCGTCAAGTTCGATAAACTGCATGAGCATGACGTCGATGAGGGCGCCCGAGTCCCGGGCCTTCCATGAAATGAAAATATTGTGGAAGGCCGCATACGTCTCGGGCAGCTGGGCCTCGAGGCTCGGCGGGGGCGTGTAGCCGTTCATCGACGTCAGGCGCGGTAGGATGTTCTCAAAGCATATGAGAAGATCCCTCGCCTTGCCAACGAGCTCCTGCAGTTGCGGATTAGCCAGGTCATCCTTGGAGAGGGGGTGCGCAAGAGCTGCCCCAACCTGCTCCTGTTCTCCCTTATTGTCCTTGTTACTCAGCACCTGGGCCGGGTGGCCGAGAATCAACAAGGCGCTCAGGAAAGTGCGCACGGCCGCCATCTCGTTGACGGACCCGACGGCGCCCTCGCGCAGGCCGCAGATCCTCAACATCCTAGAGGTAGCGGTCAGCACAGACTCCTGAGCGAGGAGCTGCACCACCTTCTCGAAAGCCGTCTCCCGTACGCCATCAATGTTGAGGCCCAGGGCCTGGAACTCGGCCACGGCGCGGCGTCTGACGGTGGCCCTCCACCACCACTGCAGCTGGCGAGCGGCAGACTCTGGCGTCATGGGCCTGTCCGCCTCCTTGCTCTCCTCTTTGACGTCGGACAGCATGTCGGCGGCCTTTCGGATGTTACCCAGGCTTTGGCTGTGGCCCCTGGAGCGCGTCTTGGCCGCGTTTCGGCTCATCAACTCATCGCGCCGCCTCTGGACCTCAGCCATGCGCTCCTCCATTTGCATCTTGAGTTTGCGGATCTCCTGCTCGCGCTTCTCCTTTGTTGACTCGGCCACCGCCTTGGCCCTCTTGACCTCCTCGGCACATGCGGCCGCGATCTCGGCGAGGTTGCGCTCGCGGGTCTGCTGAGCGGCCAGCGCGCGCTCCTCGCTGGCTGACGTGTCGCGGATGGTGGCCTTTGCGAGGGCAGCCCTCAGGCGCACCTTTTCGGCGTGTGCGGCGCGGTCGGCGAGACGGGCCTTGCGGTCCTCGAGGATGGATGCGCGCCGGAGATGCTGGGCGATGTGCTTGCTCTGAGGCCCGGCCTGGCGGGCACAGCCAGCAGAGGACAGCGAGTGTGCCGAGGAGATGGAGTTGCGGCGCGAGGACGCGGCCGAGTCCTTCCGCCTGGCCTGGGACGGCCTGTAGAAGCGGGCGGCGATGTGCGGTGGGGGCGTGTAGATGCGAGGCGCGCCAGGGCCGTCCGAGACGGTGTCCAGCTCCTCGTCGGCCTCAACGGCCTCGGCTAGCGACAGCACCATCTCAGGGCGATCGATTGGCGAGGCGGGCGATGGCGAGCCGAGGGGCTCTTCGTGAGCCCGCGAGATTCCGCTGAGATCCAGCGACGAGCGCCTCATGTTGGGCAGCCGGAGCGGACCGTGGGGTGGGACGTTGCAACAGGGTTAGATTTTTAGGTGCTGGCGGGTTGAGGGATAACGCGCTAGAAATCGGGTGAGAAAATAAAGGCAAAGGAGGGATTCAATCGGCGCCGAGAGCGTAGGGAGGCTGAACGAAGGTAGGGCGTGCGCAGGTGGCAGAGGTCGTTGATGTGAACCGTCAGATGGAGTAGGTTCCCAGGCGGAAGCGTCAGGGGTGGGAGAGCAGCGTGAGACAGGTCAGCCGGGGTTTCCGTGGTCAATATGACGAAGTTGGCGTCCTCGCAGGGCTTCAAAACGACGTGGCGCAGGAGGCGCGAGGGGTTTGCGTCAAAGTTGCACACTCCAACATGGGACAAGGAAGGCGCGGCATCGAGGGGGAGAAGACAAAGGAAGCGGGAGGCAAAACGAGAGACTGCTTCCAGTTTGTGACAATATCGACGGCCGATGGAAGCTCACAGAAGCGTCGCAGGTTACCAAATGAGCACCATCGGGCGCTATCTAATCCGCCTCCAGTTGATCAACGATCAGGACTCGAACTGCTGACTGAGCATGCGGGTAACGCAGCCCCCTCGACCCCAACCCCTCAGAATTGGTTGGTTCAACAGGCCTGCCCGCCCTCTCGCAGCAGGGATCCACCTGTGAACGGGTTGGAACTTCATTATGTCAGCCCGCCAACGGTTCCCAACCACCCCCAAAAAACAAAGCAAGGCAAACCCCTCGATCTCTGCCCAGGGCAGCGCGACTCGCCGATTCAGACTGGCGCTAGTTGAGCCTCGAGCTCTGCCGCCAGACAATGAGAACAATGACAAATTCCTCTCCCACAGGTTCAGACGACCACTCATAAAGAGCATAAATCGTGTATCTAATTTACATCTATCTACACGTAGTCACGACCAGCCCGTTTTTGCCCAGCCTAGGCGTACTAACAGCCGGCGTGATGAGGGTGACATGCAGGTGCTGAGCCGCAGGATGCAGCGCTAACTCGGTCCAGGTGCAAGCCTCGAGGCCCCACCTAGAGAATCCTGATTAAATTATGTCACTTGCGCACCTAGTTGGGCATTTTACTGTGATTGTCAATGCTCTTGGCTCGACTGCAAAAGTCAGAACGGAAAAGTGGGAGGAGAGCGACGCGGGAGGCTCGGAGCTCTGTGCCCAGACTGCGTGACGAAAGAACTGGAAGGCGGCGCAGGACATGCGGTTTTTGCCTGCGCCACCCTGAGCGAGCGAGTCACCTGACTGGCAGAAGAGAGGAAGGAAGCCCTCAAGAGATAGATGGACGTTATCGGCAGACAGGCGCTGGGCGCGTCCTGGCGGCGGCTCCTCCAGACAGCCCTGTCATGGGGAGGCCACCGCATGGCCCCTGGAGGCCATCATCACCAAGCGTTCGTTGGCTTCCCTCGTCCTTGGGAGAATGGCCCAGCGGCGGCCGTGCACACGCGCGTGCAAGAAAAGTCTGTCCGTGGGCATCCAAATGCTTCTTGTGAGGCGCGAACTTGGCAGGCGACATATTTGCTTCGGCGGTCGCGGGCGTGGCGAGGCGCCACAACAGAGCCGCAGCCGCAGCACCAGCACCAGCACCAGCCTGAGCTTGAGCTTCCTCGCCCCACCACCTCAAGTGCGGGGTCCCCACCCACTCTCCCAGAAGCTCCAGCTCCCAGCCGTCGTCGTCCTCGCACAACCTCAACAACGAACTCCCACCACAGCTCGTGCATTGCCTTCGGCCCCTTTTTGGGACAGCCTGTCGTCAGCCTTTTCGTCCCGCCCCCTCCACTTGCGAACCCATCCTTCCTTTGGTAGCCCGCCGCCGTCGCGCTCCAGATATCGCCCCACCCGTGTCTCTTCCATCACCTCGGCCTCGATTCCGTCGCCTTGGGCCGGCTCTCGTCTTGCGCCGATCCGAGGCTGCGCATCTCTGTCCGGGCCTTTGTCCGCCATCATGGCCGACCGCGACACCCTGCTGGCCGTATTTCGGCCTCGCCACTATGACTTGAGCCTAACCAGCCTCGACTTGAAGAACTGGAGTTACGATGGCACTGTTACGTACGTTTTATAATCGTTTTTATTGTCTTACATTTGTTTTCCCACTTCTGCATTTTTATATTTACTTTCCTACTTGTGCTTCCTTATTTATATTTTCCTGTTTTTGTTTCCCCATCCCTGCTTCCAATTTCTGTTTCCCGTATCTGCTTTCCTATTTCTGCTTTCTCCTTTTTATCTTTTATTTTCAATACCATTAACATATCCGGTGGCCTTTAGAATCGAGGGCGAGCTGACCCAAGAAACGGCCGAGATTACCTTGAACACCCTGGAGGTTAAAGTGATAGAGGCTCGTTTTGATTCCAAGGTATGCCCATGCGTGCTTCCATCCCTCGCGTTTTAATCCTATGCTTACCGAGGAACCGCGTAGCACGCCAAGGCCACCGTCTCCCAGTCCTCAGACAAGTTCAGCTACGATGAAAAGAAGCAGCGCTGCACCATCACGTTTCCGGCCCCCCTGTCTCCCTCCCCCAAGGTCACGCTGTTCCTCAAGTTCACCGGCATCATCAACCATGACATGGCTGGCTTTTACCGTAGCCAGTACAAGGCTGCTGCTCCTGCGGCTGCCTCTGTGCCCCGCGATGACGAGTACCACTACATGTTGAGCACCCAGTTCGAAGCTTGCGATGCTCGCCGTGCGTTCCCCTGCTTCGACGAACCGAACCTCAAAGCTACCTTCGACTTCAGCATCGAGATCCCAAGCGACCAAGTTGCATTGAGCAACATGCCTGTCAAGGAGAGCAGGGATGCCGGATCTGGAAAGACCCTCGTGTCCTTTGAGCGCACCCCCTTGATGAGCACCTATCTCCTGGCCTGGGCCGTCGGCGATTTCGAGTACACAGAGGCATTCACCGACCGCCAGTACAACGGCAAGCAGATCCCCGTCCGTGTTTACACCACCCGTGGCCTCCGCGAGCAAGGTCGTTGGGCTCTGCAACACGCGCCCAAAATCATCGACTACTTCAGCGAGCAGTTCGAGATTGACTACCCGTTACCAAAGTCGGATATTTTGGCGGTGCACGAATTTACCCACGGCGCCATGGAGAACTGGGGTTTGGTGACGTATCGGACGACGGCCGTTCTGTTTGACGAGAAGCTTTCCGACGTGCGCTTCCGCAACCGCGTCGCTTACGTCGTGGCCCACGAGTTGGCCCATCAGTGGTTCGGCAACCTCGTCACGATGGACTGGTGGGATGAGCTCTGGCTCAACGAGGGCTTCGCCACTTGGGCTGGCTGGCTAGCCATTGACCATCTTCACCCCGAGTGGGATGTCTGGGCCCAGTTTGTCAACGACGGCATGGCCCTGGCCTTCACCCTTGACGCCATCCGAGCCTCCCACCCTATCCACGTCCCTGTCCGCGATGCCCTCGATGTCAACCAGATCTTTGATCATATCAGCTACTACAAGGGCTGCAGCATCATCCGCATGTTGGCGAACCATCTTGGCGTTAAGACCTTCCTGAAGGGAATCGCCATCTATCTCAAGAAGCACGCGTACCACAACGCCAAGACGGATTCCCTCTGGGCCGCCCTGAGCGAGGCCTCAGGCGCTGACGTGAAGACCCTCATGGCTCCATGGGTCCAGATGATTGGCTACCCGATTGTCACTGTCACCGAGCAATCTCAGGGCATCACCGTCAAGCAGTCGCGCTTCCTATCCACTGGCGATGTCAAGCCCGAGGACGACACAACCACATGGTGGATCCCACTCGCGCTTTCTGGCAGGACAGGCATGGCGCAGGGCGATGTGGACACTTCGTCCCTGACAACCAAGGAGGAGACCATTTCTGGCGTTAGCAGCGAGTTTTACCAGCTCAACAGCTCGGCGAATGGCTTCTACCAGGTCAACTACCCACCAGAGCGGTTGGCCCAGTTCGGGAAGCAGCTTGGCAGGCTCAATGCTGCCGAAAAGATCCGGATCGCGAGTTCAGCGGCCGATCTAGCCTTCTCCGGCGACGGCAGTACCGCAGCACTGCTTTCATTCCTCGAGGGCTTCAATAGCGAGACGGAGTATCTGGTACTTGCGCAGGCTCTTGACGCAGTTGGTGCCCTCAAGTCGGTGTTTGGGGACGACGACGAGATCCGCAAGGGCCTTAGCGCCTTCACGCTCCGCCTAATCGAAGGCCCGCTGGCCAAGGTCGGCTTTGACGTTCCGGCCAATGACGAGTACAGCAACAGCATGCTTCGAAAGAGGCTGTTGGTGGCTGCTGTTGCCAATGGTCACGAAGGGTAAGCTATTTTCTTTCCCCTTTCCTCTTTTTCATTTACCCTTTCCCTTTCCCTTTTCCGCTTTCATTTCTCCCTTTTCATTTCTCTCTTTTCATATTTCCATGTTCACTTTTCCCTTCTCATTTCTGCTTTTTCATTTTTTACTTTTTAAAGTTTGGTGTATGGTGATTGTTATCTTTTTGTGGCTTCTTTTTTAAATTAACCAAACGCTATTCTATTAGTATCCGACAAGAGGCACAAAGGAGATTTTCCGCCTGCTTCGAAGATGGCGACAAAACGGCCATTCACGCCGACCTGCGCACTGCAGTTTATCGCGCCGGGATCCTTGGAGACCCAGCCAAGGCCGCCCAAATCTTAAAGAAGGAGTGGTACACAACTGCAGCGGTCGACGGCAAGGACATGTGTCTTGCCGCCTTGGGACATGTTCAAGATCTCAAGGTCATCGAGGAGGTGCTCCTGCCGTTCCTCCTATCGATCTCGCCGCCCGCCGCCGCGTCGGACTCGATCCCGGCGGGAGACCTGCACATGCTGGCCTCTCCCATGGCCGCAAACCGAGTGGCACGGCCGCTGCTGTGGAAGCGCATCCAGGAGGGGTGGGAGAGCGAGGTGGTGGCCAAGATGGGTGGGAACCCGGTTGTGCTGGACCGGTTCGTTAAGCTATCGCTGAGCAAGTTCACGGACGCTTCGGCCATCGACGAAATCGATGTCTTCTTCGCTTCCCGGGACACGTCGAGCTTCGACCGCACACTCAAGACCGTGAAGGACAAGGTGCGGGGCCGAGCAGCATACCGGTCCAGGGACGCCGAGGCTCTGCGTAACTGGCTCCGTGAGAAGGGTTACGCCAAGCAATAGTTTGTCTGGCGGGCGGATAGGCGTTTGCCTGCCCAGATAAAGTGATATTTACAAGGTTTTTTAAACATTTTCCCGTCCCCGTGCGATTTCGTGATGGCGGGTTGAGCGTGATGAAGTCCTTGCGGAAGAAACGCATCCATGGCATCCACAGTGCTAGTCTGGGCGTCTTGGGCCGTGACACTAGCGCCAGCCAAGGGATGCACACAGTGCCAATCGGTTATGAATACACACGCTCGCCGCAAAAAATATGGCAGTTTGACAGGTCCCAAGTGTTAAAATTGTTGATGCCATAGGCTTTTCCCATTCTTATTTTTCTTCATATTTTTATTTTTCTCATTTTTTTTTCGTATTCTTATTCATTTTATAATTCTCATCGTTATTTCCGTTATTATTCCTTTTGTTATTTCCATCTTATTTCTATCATCGTTTCTTCAGCAGCCTTTTAATGTTGGGTGGGACTGCCATCTTTTTTTGTGGTGGGCGTGATACAGTACGCGATCCCTGGTTGACTCCCTCCTATTCCTCCCTTGGCTTCCGCTTGGCCGCGACGGACTTTTTTTACCTCTTCCATCTCGTAACCTCGTCAAGCGCTTACCTCCCCCTGGCTACCTAGGCTTCGGCAATTCCCTCTCTGCCCGGCCCTTGGCTCGGGTTGGATGGACCAATCCCTTCGCTGGCAAGTCGACCGCCCGTTGGTGAGAGAGCCCGAGACCACCCGCTCGCCATATGCACAGATTCGAGACGGCGTTGAGGTGGCCATGGCTCCCCGTCATTTCAGAGCGAGAGCTAGCTCCCGATGTTATTAGCCGTAGTGCCGTGGTGGTGCGCGGCGTGTGTGTACGTCTAGAAACATGCACACCTTATTCGGTGCCCATGAGATCACCCCATCACGCCACACGGGATGTGCGATCTGCGCTCACGCTGATGTCATTGTGTAATCCCCGCAGCCTGCCGAGCTCGGGAAGAGAGTAATCCAGACAAGTGACAGGTTCAACGGGAGCCAGATATCCAGAGAAGTCTTCACGGTGGCCCATCCGGGATGCGCGGACGGGCGGACTCGGGGTCGTTGCCGACCACCCCTCGGCCAAATGGCGCGGGGGTTGTAGACATGTCACCTCAGCCAAGACCTGCCCCATGGGGATAAAAATAGGAGCCTTGTAGCCAAGAGCAAGCCAGCCGTTGGCCGGGCTCTGCCATGTGCTGACTGCATCACGACGACGACGTGTTGTACGTGACAACGCGGCCTCGATTCCCTGCACCGGCTATGACTCTATCCAGAGCAGGGCGCATTTCTTGTCTCCCCGCCTCTGCCAAGATATATGCCTTGTCCAAGGCTCGGGGAGCCCCGTCTCGCGGCCTTGTTTTACGTGGACCCATTTTGCAAAGGGTGTGCCGCGGAGAGCCAAGGACACATTTATTAACTGCGCTCGGCTCATCCAAGAGCATCCAGGAGATCCCCCGGTTCCTCTCAGCGTGGCAGTCGGGGTTGCCAGCACTCCAACACTCCAACAGAAGGGGCTCGTCATTGCCTAGAGTTTCTGAATCGCGCGGTCTTGTTGACCGAGCCTTTGTGCCTTTGCGATGGTTTTGTAACGGCAGACACCGCTCATATTCCCCGCTCTCCTCCTTCCCCAAAGTCTTGGGCTTCTCGGCGTTCGTCTTGGAAGGTCAGCCAGGTTCGACGCACCGAGGGCGAAGCCTTTCTTGGGTCCGCTGCGTTGAGAGTTGGACCAAGAAGTTCGGTCTTGGGCGTCGCGATCGGCAATGAGACGCTGACCGACCCGTTATCCTCCGAACCAACTTTGGCTCTGGCACTCGGACTCGTATATATATGTGAATGCTGAAAGCCCTGCTCGTCTTGGATATGACTCCCCACGCCTCCCAGCTGAAGCCGGTTCCGCCGTCGTGCCCCTGAGTGACCCAGTCCTGCACAGCAAGAAGCAAAAGCCACTGGGAACATGGCCGGAAATGGCGACAAGAGCGCCTCTCCTACGGCGGCCCCCGACACGATGCCAGGCGCTTCCGAGAAGCCTGAGGCTGGCCAGTTCGAGAAGTCTAGCAAAGAGCCTGTTGAGGGCGAGACGGAGCGGACAGGCGCCGAGGCCTACTACCGCAACTTCCAGCCCATCGCTGACCTTAATCTTCCCGACTGGCAGGAGACGGAGCGCAAGTTGGTGCGGGTGCTGGACTGGACGCTGCTCCCGACCGTGTGGATTCTTTACCTCAACAACTACCTTGACAGGTCAGTCGCACACACACAAGCTCTAAGGGTCGGCGTCTAAGGCCAACCTGACTTGGGTCATCGATTAGGACCAACATCGCGCAGGCGCGTCTGAACACGTTCGACGAAGATCTCAACCTGGGTGGCGATGACTACAACAATGCGGTGGCCGTGTTGACAATCGGCTACATGCTGGCCCAGCTGCCATCCAACATGCTCCTGACGCGCGTGCGCCCTGGCATCTACCTCCCGGTGACCGCCATCGTCTGGTCGGCCGTCTCGGCGGCCACTGCGGGCGTCAAGAACTCGACCGAGCTCATCGTGGTCCGCTTCTTTCTCGGAATCCTGGAGGCTCCCCTGTTCCCCGGCGTAGGTCTTGAAAATGCACAAAAAAGTAGAAGAAAAGAAGCGCAAGAGCTGATGGTGCACTATGAACCCCCCCTTTTAGTCTGTCTACCTCCTGAACTGTTGGTACACGCGCAAGGAGATCGCTCTCCGCACCGCCATCCTATACTCGGGGCTCGTGCTCGCGCAGGCCTTGTCGGGCGTGCTGGCCGCTGGCATCTTCTCGGGGATGGACGGGACCGCAGGCCTGGCTGGATGGCAGTGGCTCTTCGTCGTCGAGGCCCTGATGAGCACCGTGTGCGGGGTCGGGGCGTTCTGGACGCTGCCCGACTACCCGCACTCCAAGACGGGGGCGCAGAGGTACGTCATGACCGAGGACATGCGGCGGCTCGCCGAGGCGCGCATCGTGGCCGACCGCGTCACGGGGGCCGGGGGCACCGGCAAGGTGTGGCACGGCGTCAAGCTGGCGGCGCTGGACCCCATCACGTGGTGCTTCATCTTCCTCAACATCTTCATGACGGGCTCGTACGGCTTCAACTTCTTCTTCCCCACGCTCGTGCGCGGACTGGGCATCGGCAACAACACGACGTCGCTGCTGCTCACGTCGCCGCCGTACCTGCTGGGCGCGGCCTGCTCCTTCTTCGCGTCGTGGAACTCGGACCGGACGCCCGAGCGCGGCTACCACATCTGCGTGGGCCTCGGGGCGGCCGCCGTCGGCTACGTCATCACCATCTCGACGCCCAACGTGGCGGCGCGCTACGCGGCCTCGTTCCTGTTCGCGCCGGGCTCCTTCTCGGCCAACGCGCTCGTCTACACGTGGGCCGTGTCGACGCTGAGCACGACGCCCGAGAAGCGCGCGGCGGCCGGCGCCATCGTCAACATCTTTGGTCACCTCGGCAACATCGTGTCGCCCTACTTCTTCCGCCCCGAGGAGCAGCCCGTGTACCGGCTGGCGTTTGTGCTCATGCTCGTCTTTGGCGCCACCGCCTTCGCCATCGCCATCAGCACCAAGATGTACCTCAAGTGGCAAAACAGCAAGCTCAGGAGGCGGGCAGACCAGACGGGCGAGATCTACAACCCGTACATTCTGTGATTGGGGCCATGTGGTTGTGGCGTTCGTGTTAATGAAAGGGCCAGAAGCTTTTGGGGGGGTGTGGCTTCGTTTCACACGATTCGGGATCAATTTTGCTCGTTTTGGAGAGAGCATGTACGTACGCAGCCACGATGGTAAGCTGGCGTTACTGGCAGGACACGCTCACACGCTCTCTCAAGTCAGGCCCATTCCTAATGGACAAATAGGGAAGGCAAGAGGCAAATGATCAGCAGAAACCACGACTCAAACCTCTAGCGCTTGCAGCGCTCCGCCAAGACCCTAGATTGGCAGCTAGAGGCTTCCATGATTGGATTTTGCATATCCTCGGGCCGGGGTGGGGTGAGACACGCGCGAGAAGCGACGGGCGGGAGATGCGACGGATCGGGACAGAGCGCGAACGCGGATGCGGCCTGGATGCGAGGGGAGGCTGGCAAGGGAGAAGATAACCCACAAACACAAGAGAGTATGTAAATAACAAGGAACCAACGCCTCCGAGCACGACGTCGAGCGGAAACGAAATCCGGGGGCTAAACGCACGCACGTGGAACCTGATTGGGCATCGGGGAATTGCGTGAGAGAGGACGCTAGCTCAGGGTTGGAGGGTTCGTTTCGTAATAGGTTCCTCGCCGGGGCCCTGGCGGCGCGGCAAGCAGCTAAAATGGCCGGATTATCCGGTTGCCCCAAGCTATCCTCCGCTGTCAACACCTCTGTAGATGTATATGAAAGTGGCTTACCGAACAGAGCACTCTTCAGCTGGTCACCCAACTCTTGGAGAGCAGCTGAGACATGGTGCCGTCACCCAGCCGTTGCCTTTGAAACTGGCCAAGGAAACATAACCTCGAGGCCCCTCTATTCCCGGCATCAAATCGACAGTGATTCCTGGCGGCTTCTGCAAGCAGCTGGCCTTGCCATCTTTGGGCTGCTGCCCATCACGGGAGTAGCGGTGGCACCCTCCCAACCGATAAAAAATAAAACCCAAGAGCTCCAGACGCCGGCATGAATCTCTAGCGCGCAGGGTGGCCAAGGCTTTGTTTGTTAGGTGTTCGGCGGGAAGTCCGAGGGACGAATCACGTCTTTCCCCTTGACACGACCTTGACGGCGCCTAGGTGTGAAGCTAGTGCAGAACCCGTCTAGCGAGGTGCTCCCTAGCGGGATAGCATTCCCCCAAAACATTATACAGACATTCCACATCCAATGGTGTCCTGTCAGAGCCCGGCACACCGCCGCCTCGATGATATCATCGACAGAGGAGGTGGTGTGTGGTGGTGCCACAGAAGCATCACACATCGCGTCCGGAGAAAAGGAAATGTATAAATGTAGGGGCTGTGGAGCATGACGATCATCCGCAGGGAAGAAGGAAAAAGAGCAACCAGGTCCCGCGCTATTGCATTGCGTGTGGAGGCACTGGGAGGCAACCCGCTGGTGCGCTTCGCTCGCGTGGTGCCTTTTTTTTTTTTTTTTTTGTCCCGACCAGCCTCGTGGCGTGGTGGGGACTCTCGACGGCGGCTAGCCCTGGGCCAAGACTGATGGCACAAGCAAGCTGTCCGAAGTCGCACATACAGCACCTCACACAGGGAGTCAGGCGATGCCGTGCTGTGCGTGCATGTGTATGTGTATGTGTATGTGTTTGTGTATGTGTTTGTGTATGTGTTTGTGTGTGCGAACGTGCCTGCAGGCGGCTTTCGTGGCAGTATCTCTTCAGTGACATGGCTTTCGAGAGCTTTGGGCCCATCACGACATCATGGATCACTCACATTGAACAGCTTTGTACGGCAAGGCACGTACCACGCGTCCCTCCAGACAGACGAACACAAATATCAGGCCGTGTGTGGCTGCCGCATGTGCCAGGAGGCCCTTGTTCCTCCCATCTCGCGGCTGCATAGGCGCGCGTGCCTCGTGTCAGTGTCCGAGTCAAACACTTACCTCCGACCATCCCCTCTCCGGAACACAGGCCGGACACGGCCAGCGAACCTGTCCACAGTCAACCTGAACGCCTGAACGTATGCAGCTGCCCAACAGGGAGCTGTGCACCACCACGCCAGGGCCAGGCGCCATGTGGAGCCACCCTCCTTCAGCAGCGGCGGCAGCAGCCTTCATGCGTGGATATATCGCCGAACGCCATCCGACCCCAACTTTGGGCCCATGTCCTGGCAGAGCTTACATGGCATGTGCGCCCGGTGTGCATCGGGAGGAGTGAGCTTCGGCATGATCTGCCTGACCTGCGTCAAAATCAACTTTCCTGAAAAGTGAATGATCAGACGGGTCGCCCAGGAGGGGCAAGGGTAAGGGACCAGCCCTTCTCTTAAAAGGAAACGCAGGCGTCAGACTTTCCTTGTACCGTTCCCGTTCCGAAGCCCACCCTTCTTTTTGCGCCACGTCCAGCCAGCCGTACATATCTTTCCTGTTTTCCTTTTTATTGCAGAGCCCCAGCTCCTGGCGGAGAAAGGAACTCGCCGTTTTAGTCAACCAACCGCTCGCCAGACGAGAGCCCACAAGTCAATTCTCGGCAGCGGCATGTCACGTTCAGTCTAAGGGCGTCCTGTCGACAAAGATGAAGCTTTTAGGCACTCCTTTTTTTGTCTTGATAGTATCCTTCGCCACACTATGTCTAGCCGGGATACCAATCAGCCAAGCCATCACACGGCTCCCAGCCTGCGGGGTATGTGGAAGGAAGAGAGCCCGGTTCACTGTGGCGACGGCGATGCTTACTCTTCTTGACGACCGGCCACGGCATCTAGACGACCTGCATCTTGCAGTCCATCACAAGCTCGCCGTGCAACTCGGTGACCAACACGACGTGCCTCTGTAACAACAATGACCTGTATGGCCTGGTCCAGGACTGCGTCTTGGCCAACTGCACCGGTCCCGACGCCATCAGTAAGACCAGCGGAGGCCCTCAGTGGAGATGGAAGAGGGGGGATTTGATGCTGACGCGGAAACCAGAAACGGGACTGGTTCAAGCCCAGGTCTGCGACCTCCCGCTCAGGCTCCGCAAGTTCGATATCCACATCGCGGGCATCCTGCAAGGCCTCGCCATTTTGTGTATCTGTCTGCGTATTTTCTCACGATGGTACACCATGGATCGCACCGGGTTGGACGACTGGATAGCGATCATCATACTGGTAAGAGGAACAGAGAGCGGGATCTCGGAAGGGCTCTTGCCTGCCGACATCAGTGAGACCCACCAGAAGCTGACAGGGACCTACGTATCTAGCCATTGTACTTCGGGTTCGTGTTTTGCGGCCACTACGGTTAGTTCTCCCACGTCCTGGGCTCACACCACTTGCCCATCCCGAGAAGGACGAGACAGCGGGGCTAATCCCGGAGAGGAACGTCTGTGTCATAGCGGGCCAGTTAGCGTTTGGGTACATAGCCTCTCCCGCTTCCCATCCCTGATGAGCTCGCTCACACTGACCATGGGTTCGTCGGGGTTATGCAGCATCGACATATGGTTCGTGGAGCCCGACGCCGTCACCGAGGCGCTCAAGGCCTTCTACGTCGGCGAGACGCTCTACGTTCTGCTGCTGGGGCTCACCAAGGCGTCGATGCTGTGCTTCTACCTGCGCGTGTTTCCGCACCAGGGCGTGCGGCGCGCCATCCTCGTGGGGCTGGGCCTGGTGGTGACGTCGACGGCGACACTGCTGCTGCTGCAGGTGTTCCAGTGCGTCCCCGTAAGTCTCTTCTGGGAGGGCTGGCGGGAGGGGCTGGCGTTCCTGGCGGGCGACCGCCGGTGCGTCAACATCAACGCGCTAGCGCTGGCTGTGGCCGCCATCAGCATCGCGCTCGACATGGTCATCCTGGCCATCCCCGTCCCCGTGGTGATCAAGCTGGACCGGCAGATCCGCAGCAAGGCGGCGGGCATGTTCGGACTGGGCATCTTCATCCTCATGACGAGCTCGGTGCGCATCCCGTACATCGTCGAGTTCGGCGACAGCCGCAACCCGACGTGGGACGCGACCGACGCGCTCATCTGGTCGGGCATCGAGATCGCCGTGTCGATCATCGTCATCAGCCTGCCGGCGATCCGCGTGCTGCTGCGCGTCATGTTCCCGAGGGGGGGCGCGGCCCGGGAGGGGCTGCCGCCCATCGAGTCGGCCAGGGGGCGCACGTTCCGGCAGCGGCTGTCGTCCATCAATGGCTCGGCTGAGTTCAGGCCCAACTTGCGCGGCGGGGCGTCGCGAGTGGCCGAGGGCAGCCGCGCCATCGAGCTCAAGGACACCAAGTTCAGCACCGGCACCGCCAGCAGCTCGCAGATGGAGACCAAGTTCACCACGTCGACCTTTTCCACTGTGACGGTCACGGACGAACGGGACGGGGAAATGGACGGGGGAAGAGGCAGTGACCGAGGCAGTCACATCGCTCACCACATGAAGACAGCCCCAGGCCACGCAAGGGGCGGTTAAGCGCTGTAGTATGGACCGGACTTCTTGCTCGTTGCATTTTTGGGCTATTTCTGGTGCTTTTTCTTTCCTCAACGGCTGCGGTTCAGCACCAGAGCCTGTACCAGTAGTAATGACGGATGGTTATAAATAATGGCAAGGGAAAACAACAAGGATAAAGGGTAGCTAGTTTGTTTGGAGTTGAGGCGCATGTTTGATCAAGACAATTGATGAGTTCCTTCGCCCCGGGCTTCATAGAATTTCCACGCAGCCCCACTCCAGGTGGGTTGACGGCAGCACAACCCCTGTGCCCCTGCATTCAGCGCCCAGATCAAGTTCCATCGTGTGTCCGTGCTGGTGGCTTTTGGTCGGACACTTGGAGCTCCAGCCATTCTCGGGACTTGCGAAAACGAAGGACGTCCGGCATGACCCGAGAGTGCACAACTTGGTAACCTGCTCGAGCGGTCTGTTGTGCCTGGCAAGGGACACTACCCACCTATCGCCAGTGATAGCCAATTCAGCCCCAACAGCCTCCCTCAAAGCCCACCACCAGTCACCCCCATCACACCACACAACAGCCAACATGCCCGCCTCGATCCCCCACGCCGAGCACGAGCGCACCGTGGCGCACATGAACAAGGACCACGCGTCCGACCTATCCCTCTACCTGCGCCACTTCAACGGCGTGCCCGAGCCCGACGCCGCCGGCGCCCGCCTCGTGTCGCTCGACCTGCGCCGCATGACCATCGCCGCGGGTCCCGCTGGCACCACCCACCACGTCCGCCTGCGGCCCGCCCTCTCGTCGTGGGACGACCGCCGCGCCGTGCTGATCGACATGGCCTGGGTCGCCCGCGCCGCCCTGACCGCCCCGGACCTGGTCCCGGACCTGTCCGCCGCCGGCAGCAGCAGAAGCAGCAGCAGCGCCATCCGCTGGCCTGCCCTCGTCCCGGACCTGCTCATCGCCGGCGCCGTCGGCTTCTACTTTGCCAGCTGCGCCCTGGTCTACTCGGGCCACCTGGCGCCCGGCTCCGTCGCCTGGGACGCCGTGGTCGCCTCGCGTTTTCCCGGTGGGCCCGAGACTTTCGTGTGGCTGGTCAAGCTGATCGCGATCCCTGTCATTCTCATCCACGTCGTCGAGGCCGCCGTCATGTACCGCTCGCGCCTGCGCAGGCACGGCATCGCCGTCGTGTCGCTGCCCGGCCTGTTCTGGCTCGGCTGGGCCTTTTTCGAGGGCCTAGCGGCCTTTCGCCGCTTCGACCGCATGGTCCTGCAAAAGAAGCGCGAGATCCTAGAGAGGGAAGCTAAATCCCATTGATTTGGAGCTACTGGTTTTGCTGTTACACACCATCTATGACGAGTCTTGCATGTTCATGAGCACATAGCCTGAGCGTGACGAATTAAACAAAACACAATGGTATTAATGACGAGCTGTCTCGGCATGCATTGACATTCCGAGCCTCCTGCCCTGAGGCGAAACAGGGTCCCACTGAGACATTGCTAGCCTACCTTTGCTGCGAAACAAGACAAAAAGGGCTCCTGGGACCAGTGGCAAAGAGTAGGTACTGCTGCCTGTGTAGGTAACGAGGAATGTGTGGTGTATTCAGGTATCAACCTGCGAAAGTCGTGAATCGTGATGGTGAGAGTGTGTGGAAAGTCGGCGGGGTCTTGGGACGGATTCTGGCGCCCTCGCCTGAGGCTAGCCCCATCCTCATGACATCATCGGCTGTCCTGACCGTGGTGGAAATGACGGGCCATGGTGAAAGGCATGGTAGACGCAACCCGAGCGCCTCAATGGCGGTGCTTGAAGCAGTTGAAGCGGCCGAGACTGAACCTCCACGGCCCACGGCGGACGCCATGCCTGTCCGCGTGGACGCTGGTGCCGAAGTGGCGTCCGCCAAACGCTTTGCTATAGAAGAAGGGCATCTCCGAGGCGGTGAGTGGGAGCTCGTTGTTGTGTTGATGATGCACTGGTATTGTTCTATGGGTAGCCCGTCGTCAGTCCCTACCTACAAAAGAAGAGACGCGGCGATACAAAAGTGCTTTCTCACCTGGAGGCTTGGTATCGAGAATGAAATGCTCGGCCTTTGGTTTTGGTTGGGCTGGGTGCTGATGTAGTGCAGTGGAGTGGTCGGATGCCGGGACAAGATCTTCTTGGACGCGCCGAGGAACTCACCAGCTTATAAAGTGGTCCTGCTTTTACAAAAGGAAAGAGACGACCACAGCTTCTTGAGCTGGAGCCTGCTTGCCAGCGTGGTGGTGCACGCTGGACTGGACGTGGCAGGTCAGTTGCTTGAAAGGTCTTGGCGTGCGTCATTATTTTCCAGCCTACAAGCGTGTCGCTCCAACCACCCAAGTTCACGATGACGTCCTTGGTCCAGGCACAAGCCTTTACTGATTGGCTGTCGGAGAAGTCTAGGCTACTCACGCCCAAGACCGCTTGAATACGAAAAATCACACATGTGAGAAAAGCAAGTTCCGGAAATATCCAAATTTTCATTGATCAATGCCAAAACCGGCCCATGCACGGCCATGTTATCCTTATCAAGCCACGGGGCCTCGTAAAGCAAAGGCTCCTAAAGCGCCAGCCCATCATGAATATACAAGTAAAAAGGAGACAAGAAAAATATGACCACATCATGTACAATATATAAAAAGAAGAAACGCCTTTGGAAGAGGCACAGCCATATCACTGGCGGAGGAGAAACAGATTTCCTCGCAGATGGCTGAAGAATATGTCCACGCAAAGCGTAATGTTCGGGAGAGCTCATCATTGCCGCTGCGTGCTTGCAAACGCGGTAATGAAGGGCGTGAAAATGGGGGCACGCCGGCGCTGAGTGCAGGGACGAGGCGGGTGAGAATTAGAATATAACCAATAAGGTTCAGGCAAAAGGCGCTAGTCAATGTGAATATGTCGGTAGGTGGGAAGGATAAAAGTGGAAGGCAAAATCATCGTGGCGGAGAACTGAAGAAACAAAGGGGAGAAATCCGCCGCGAGATGCGAGTAGGAGACGCGGCGGTTTGCCAGACGCTGGTGATGGTAGCCAGGAGAGGAGATATGCAATATCCTGTGTGGAGTACCACATGAATAGAGACGAGGACAGCTCGGCAGCCGTGCACGTGTGGAGCCAGCAAGCGAGACCGCCAGGGTATGGGCTTGTGCAATATAGCACGCGCCCGATCCCGCAAGCTTGGCGCGGGGTGGTGAGTGGTTCGAACCGCAGACGCTGTGTTGCAGAACTGGCAGCAAGGAGATGGAAGAGCGACGGCGAATGGCCGCTAAGCCTTGCCGACCTCCCGCACGGCCCGGATCCAGGCATCCTCCTCCCCAGGCCGGCCAACTACGTGCTGCTTCCGGGGGGCACCGGGCGCGCTTGTGGGCGAGCCACCTTCGAGGACGGCCCTGACGTCGCTGATCTGCTTGGCCCCTAGTAGTGACATCTCGCGCTCGGTGAGAAGCGCTACGGCGGCCCGCACCAGGACCTTGTCTCCTTCAAAGACGTAAACATCCCACAGCCTGGCGGCCGCGTCGAGGGGAAGGTATCCGGTGAAGAGAGACGTGAAGAGCTCGCTCAGGTACATGTCCGGATCGTGGTCTGGCAGCCTCGTCAGGTGCTCGTGCAGGCTGGGTGACTTTTGAGCAAGCGTTTGCAGGATCAAGCTGTAAGCAGTTGACTTGGCCCCTGGGTCGGCAGCGTAAAAGCTCAACGGGAGTGGCCTGTTCAAAAGGTTGGCCAAAGCAATGAAGGCTTCGGTGGCTGAAGGAAGGTTGAGAAGCAGCAGAGCAGCCATAGTCTAAAAGATGACAGTCAGATTGGTGGCCCTTTGAAGAAAGTGAATAGTCCCAAACGGGTACTGAGAGTCGGCAAGACTTACGTTGCAACCGGGAACATAGCCAATGTCGCTTCGGTACATGGCGTAGGCCGAAAGGACATCGACGAGGCTCTGATGGAGCGGCGCGCCCTTTTGGAAGATCTTGAGCTCAGTCCAGGTGGACGACTCAACGTCGCGGTGGATGGCCCGCAGCCAGCGAGCGAATCTTTGGTCACTGTTGGTGCCCTTGCCGGCGGCGTCGCGATCCTGAGCCTCGCCAGCGCGGCGGAGAGCGGCACGATACGAAGTCTCGCTGAGGCCGAGCTCGTTCCCAATGGCACGCATCCAAACAGCGCCGCGGCTTCGCGGAGCCACTCCTTTCCACCACAGCTCCCGAGTGCGGCGTTCGCAGATGGCCTCGTTCCACCTCGGCAGCACATCTCGCTCCCAGATCTGCATCAAGGTGTCCACAGCTGTGTCGCGGCACTCCGACTTTAGCTTCCTGGCCGTCTCGCGGCGCTTGTCAGCCTCGGCGCTTTGTGCCATCATGCGCTGGTATTCCTTCAGGTGGCGCCGCTCCTCAGCGGGGTCCTTGGGAGGAAGCCATGACGGCCGGGTGCGCGAGAGCACAGCCTCCTTCTCCTTGGAGACCGGGAGGGGGTCAATCATAATGTTCGACCGTCGCAGAGGCGGCAGTTCGGGCAAAGCCGACTTGTGGCGAGCTTTGCTCTCAGCACTCTCGGAAGAGGTTTTGCCTGTCGGCATAGATCCTGTACTGCACCTCTGCTGCGACTTTTGCTGGAGCTCGTCTGCATGCTCCTCAAGCTTCTCCGTGAGCGCTTTTGCCTCGGCGTTGAGATCTGCCAAGGCCATATGCCAGCTCTTTGTCCTTGTCTTGACAGGGCTCACAGCGCCGCTGGATGGTGTCGACGTGGGACTAGCCATGCTGTGCATGGCGGTGGGCGACGTAGTCAGGAGACCGTTAGACTTCCATGTGGGTGATTTGAGAGAGCCCTGGGCCATGGCGACTGGTGGTGTACCATTCCCAACACTGCGAACCCTCTGGGGAGGTGGCCTCTCGGGGGAGTTGTCTTTGGAGCTGGCCCGGCTCCTCACCGAGCGCTCCGATTGCGGCCTGGGCGAGATGGGCACGTTGTCGAGGATCAAGTGTTCAGGGATATCGTCGTCGTCGTCCTCGCATTCTCTTTCGAGATCCGAGACGGACTTGCGTTCGTGGGTGGACTGCCAGCTACTCCTGCGCGGTTGGACGAGCAGCTTGTTCGGATCCCTCGGGATCATGGAGCAGTTGGGGCTCTGGCTCCTTTGGCGGCGCAATGTGGCGCCACGTGTGCCGAAGCTCTTGGATCGAATAGGGCTCGTCAGGGGAGCGGGATATAGCGTGTTGAGGTTGGTGCTACGCACGTTGATGCTCCGAAGCTCGGCCCCTATCGGGGGGAAGGATGGGCGAGATTTCGGGGTGATGTCGCGGAGGGAACGCGATTTCCCTAGCTCTCGTGGGCCATTGGAGGGACGCGGAATCGACCTGTTCCTCCGTGAGGCAGCTCGGAGATCGGCAGGATAGTTTGGGTTAAAGGGATTCGCTTTGGCGGGTGCATCTCGATCGAAGCGGTGGACGACGGTGTCGTCGTTCAAGCCGATGTCCTCGAAGTGGCTGGCATCGACGCTCCCATCGTCGGAGTTGAGCGAATGAAAGGAAGAAGATTTTGAAGACTTGGATGCCGTCATGCCGGGTGGCGAGCCCGGGCTGGGAGTGGCCGAGGTGTCGTCGACAATGGCGTGTTCATCCAGAGCCATCATGGTGTGGCAATGAGCATTCTCCCGGATCCCCATGTAGATCAACAACCCTCTCTTTTGGTATGCTCGTCTTGTCGAGCTTACAGCCAGAATCAACGGGCCAACAGATCAGTCGTGGGAGCTCGTTTGGTGGTTGCTGTTGCCTTCGGATCGCGGGTTACGGCAGGCCAAAGTTCTGGTTCGTGGCTAGGAGGGGGCAAACCGAGGCGACGGCGTGTTTCTAAAGTTTGTTTACTCGCAGTCGCTGCCACGAGGATGTGGTAGGTAGAAGGCGGGTGACGGGTGTGGGGACCGAAGGCCAAAAGAGACTGCAGAACAATAGCGAGGCACCCTCGGCGTGTGGGCCAGACTGCCGCAACAGGCCGGTAGATGACAGCGAAGGTTTGGGGCCCGCTGAGGTTCGAGACGAGATGATCGTGGGTTTGCAGGATCGGACGAAGCCCCTGACGTGACAAACGTCTCAAGATGATCGCGCTGTGCGGTTGCGGGCGTTCAAGCGGGCAAAAGCAACGCCAACAGGGGTGGTTGAGGGGGTCGGTGGTGGGATCAGAGGATGGAGGTGGCCCAAACACCAAGCGGACGGAAATAGCACAAGGTGACTCTGGGTGTCTGGGTGATAAAGTCAAAACGAGCGATTAGGATTATCTACAGCCGATTGACGACACCGAAAAGGAAAACATATACAGAGCGAGCGACGGGGTGCGATGACGACGCGACCGGAAAAGAATGGACGGGGAGGGAAAAGAGTGACGGTGGATTGGTTGGCCAAAAGGGAAAAGGGAAAAGAAGAAAGGAGAAAAACTTGGTTGGATGATGCCGTGGCCGACGTGATTGACCGCTCGGCGTGCGGGCTCCAGCTTGTGCTGCCCGCCCCCTTGTTTTTGCTGTCTGTTAGGCGGGGTGGGCGTGCAGATTCAGCACACCGCACCGCCCTGGCGCAGGGCCGGCGCACTCGTTCGCTGGCAGGCAGGCGCCCGGCTGGTTGCGATGCGATAGAGGGCAGGATGGGCGAGAGGGTGGGCCGGGGATGGGGCAGCCGTCCATGCCAGCCAACCAGGAGCCGCCTGGCTCTGGAAAGTTCTTGCGCTGGGTGACGTTGGCGTGCTGACATGGGGGGCCCGACTCGAAAATTTGCACGTTTCCATGTTACATAGGTACCTACAGCACGATGCACCCACACAACCACCCATTGACTGCACCCATCACGTTCGGCTGTGTGTTCACAGCGATGCAGCATCCCAAGTGGCTGCGCACTGCGCAGCAAGTGTGGGCAGGCTCCGTTTCCAACTCTGCCAGCTGGTGCATGGGTCGGTGATCAGGGGCAGGCGGCAGTTGGGTGGGGAGTCCGACTGCAAGACTGTGCCCCATGTTCATTCAGTCAGGTATGGGGTCTGTTTTTCCAGCCATTTCACGAGGGGCAAAATGGCTGGATGTTCCCAGAGAAAAGGAAGTGAAAATCAAGAGGCACAAAAGTCAATTACGCGAGCAGCCTGAGCAGAGCCCGCACGGCCCCGCCATCGGCGCAAGATGGCAGGGAAGCGATGCGGAAAAGCAATCGAGACAGAAAGCTTGACTACCCTTCTTTTTATTGCGCAGGAACACAGACGGGGTCGGGGACTGAACAAAGGCGAAAAAGAAAAGACAAGAGACAAAAAGCCGTTGGGAGTAGCCTCGCTGCGTCGCAACACGGCCAGCGGGAGAGGCAAACGCGGGGGGTGGCGGTTGCTGGCTGTTGCTGGCTGTTGCTGGCTGTTGCTGGCTGAAACCTGGCGTCGCCGTGTTACCGGACCGTTTTGCCAGCCTTCGAAACAGCGTCGACGCCACTGCTCGACGTTCCATCGCCAGTCGATTCAGCCCAGTGCCGCCGGTGCTTGACGCGTCGCACTCCAACGCGGTCTGAATCGAGGCCCGGCGGCTTTTGTCTGCCGCATCGAGAAACGCCACCAGGTCGTCGTCGGAGGGTGGTTTTCCACCGGAGGGATCTTCATTTCCCCAACTTGAATCCCGGCCAATCACGGCCAGTGCCGCTGCGGCATCCCCTCGATTGCACCCCCGGAGATTGTTTGTATATCCACGAGTGCCATGGCCAGCCCAGGGCGGGGACAGCGCGGGAGGCCATCGAGACCACTGGAAGCGAGATAAATGCCAATTAGAGGCAAAACGCAGCGCGACAAGGCGAGCACTGCGACTGTGGGGGCCAAACTCAGCCCTTGTCCCTGACAGACCTGGCCGAGACCGCTGATCGTTGGGCCTGATGGCTTGGGTCAATGCCGATCTGCTGGACCTGGAGATGTGTGGTCATGCTGTCGTTTACGGCCACCCGTGAGTGTCAGGCAATTTATCCGCTGGCCGCATCCGGGACTGTAGGTAATTGTGCTCGGACATCCCTTTTCGCTGAGGTTGCTCATCACGAGGGACGGATGTGATGAGCTCCAGCTGGCGTAAACTCGAATGCTACCGTTTGGATTGGTTGCTGGGGCTGACTCGAACGAGCGCTTGATTAGACCAACCTCCGTAGAGCAAACTGTCCTGAGGCTGCAGGCAAATGGCATGGTCTTCCTGATGAAGAGGGTGAGAGGGTATGGTTGATGATTTTTGCCTAAGTATATCATGTCAAGTCAAGATTGACCTGAAGAACAGCAGATCCGTTGGCCTATTTCCTGTTTCATTTCTCCCAAATGCACCGTCGCTAAGACACCAAACGATGAAGTAGAAAGAGACTGATCGCCTGACACTCCTGATAAACACCACACTTATTCCCAAACTCCAAACATGTAAACAACACCGCCAACCTGATGACATGCATCGGCACGGCCCAGGCGGCTTTTCACCAAGCCATTGGGGCACACCCGAGATTCTAGGTACCATAGTTGCAACCCACAGGGACAAGAAAAGATGAGCATATATGATGCGCGTGCCTCTGTGGTGCTCCCCCTTCTAGACCAATTCCACGCACGGCCAGGGTCTCCCGTGACATGCCCAAACTAGCGACACCTCAATGCGTCCACACCAACTCCAAGACCTCGTCCCTCTCGCCCAGCTCCTGGTTGCCGCGGTAGACATACACCTGCCGCAGCCCGCCCGGGCCGCCCTCAGCGTCGAGCACCTTGTACGTCTTCTTGCGCCCGTCAGGCACGCGGTCGCGGAACGGGCCGAGGCTCCAGGCAAAGTTGTCGTCGCCGTTGGGGCTGATCCAAGTGACCTCGGTCCGGGATAGGTCGACACCCGCCAGGCCGTCGGCGTAGTGCGTGACCGAGTACCCGTTGGCCAGCAGCGCGTCCGGGCCGAACCGCCAGCGCTGCAGGAAGCAGTCGCCACACACGGCCGCCACGGCCGCCATGCGGTCCACGGGCTCGCGGTACCACGACTTCCAGTGGTGCACCGACAGCGGCCGCGGCCCGGACTCGTAGAAGCCCGCCACGTCTCCCATGAGGTCGTGCTGGTGCAGCCCGGGTACCGTCGTTAGCTTGGCGTGCGTCCACCCGTGCACGCAGTCGCGCAGGATGGCATCGCCCGTGCCGCGCCGCGCCGAGTCGACGCACCCGCCCACGTGCGGCGCCAGCTCCCACGCCAGCGGCACGCTGAGGAACACCCCCGCCCCGCCGAACGCCATGATGCCCCAGTTGCGCACCGCCTCGAGGTCCTCCGACAGCGCCCCGAGCCACGCCGGCTCGTCGGCCCTGTGCGCGGCGAGGGCCTGGTCCATGTTGTACAGGCTAGGGAAGAAGGTGTCGTCATCGAGCAGGCCGAGCCACCGCGTCTGCGGCGTGGCCGCCTCGAGCATGTCTAGTATTACCGTGAAGTGGTTCTGGTCCACGGTAAGTGACGAGTTTCGCGTCTTGACGCACCGCAGCCGCATGTCCGAGCCCCGGTAAAGGCGTTCCAGAGCCTGCAGGTCCCGTGGTTTCTCCCCTTGACGGTCGGCGTCCACCACAACCGCCACCAGCAGGGCGTCCGAAGCCGACAGCCAGTGCGAGAACACCGGCAAGCTCTCCTGCAGACGTTCGTACGTGGTTGAGATGCCAAAAATGAGGTGTGAGTACGTCAGCTTTGGATCCGGAGGCGGGACGCGAAGGGCCAGCGGCACGCATGGCGGGAGCCTGTTGTGGGAGCAGGACGACAAGTTGACGGCGACCTGCCCGTCGATCAGGGGCTGCTGTATCTCGACGACGGCATCTCGGTCGACGTGCGGATCGAAAACGGGCTCGATGCAGCGCCTGGTGTAGAGTATCTCCTCGGAGAGCCCGAGGGAGCTGAGACGTGCGACGCGCGGGTCGCAGCCTCCGGCGTCGTCCTGCTCCGCCGCGAGGACCGGGAACAGAGAGCCAGGGACGCCCTGAAATGGAGAGGGAAACGGCGAGGCTCGAAATCGGGGCGCGTTCAGAAAGAGCAGAGCGCCAAAAACAAATAAGGCGGCCAAGGGAAGCAGCCGTTGGAAGCGAAACGAGGCCAGCATGATCGAGTCCTCCTGGCTCCCTGCCAGCTACCGAGCCGAGACCGCGGGGCAACCCGGCTTGGAAGAGGACTTTTGCTTGTAACTTCCGTACTACCGCCTGGCTACCTAGGTAGGCATGCAGCGAATATCAGTGCCAGTGCGCATGTGAGGTGGTCGGGACTGGCAAGATGTACGTCCTGTCACATCGGAAGCGAGACAAAAAGGCCAGTCAGCTGCGTTGGTCACAACAGCCGAGCAGAAAGCGGTGGATAAATAAGGCAAAAGACGTCGAGTAAAGGCCAATATAGAGGAGACGGGAGGGGCGACGGAACACCTAGAGTTTAGCTACCTTCCGCCACCTTGTGGACCTCCTCGACGCCCGCCCAGAAATTCGGCATGTCTCGTGCCGTGGTGTAGGCACCTTCCCCGATGTTTCTGTACATCATCCATGGCAGCCGCGTACTGTAGGTTGTGTGGGAAGTTGAAGTAGGGATGGCGCAGGCCCCGGCGAGGTGTGCCCGTGGCTGACGCCGAAACCATCTCAACCTTTGCAGCAATCTAGAAAGTTTGCGATGACGAAAACTCAACGTGATCTCGACCCATTCTGCCATCAGAGCTTAGCAGGTAGAAGTACACAGTGGTTCGTTCTGACGAGGTGCTCTGCTGTAGTTTGACGAACTTGAAACCGACTTCTCTTCTCGGACACTAGGAGTATCTCAAATTCATATCTCGAACTTGGAAGGTACCTGGAACGCATTTTAACAATACAGACGAAGGACTGACCAAGGCAATGGTCGACCCAAGTGTAAGTGACTTATTTCGGCGCCAGCAAAAGGACAAGCTACAACTTGCGGCTCTGAGAATTAGGGGGATGCAAAGAGAATCCATAAACGCTCGGTGTAAATGCTTCAACTCTTTTGTGAACCTAGCCGAGTGCCTGCTGTTCTCCCATATGGCTCGCTGGCAACAGGACGCCGTACCCAGCGAACTAAAGAACAAGCGCCCACCGCAAAGCACAAATCTCCCATCCAGAGGCCCAAAATGCAAGTCCAAATCACCCAGTTCTACTGTCAGGAAATGAACAGAGAAACAATTAACGCCGCATGAAACAGTCCATATTTGGACTTGCGGCCATCCCGGTACCACACCTGGCCAGGCATGCACATCATTCCCAGCCCCCATCTAGCTCACGATCTCCTCGTTCTCCTCGAGAACCTCCTCCACAATCTCCTCGATGACTTGCTCCTCCTCCTGGCCGTCGGCCACCAGTTCTGCAGTCTTGGCCTTGAGCAGCTCTGCGACGGGGTCTTCGGGAAAGCCGAGCTCGGCGCGCTCCTCGGCCACATCGGCCTCGGTGGCCTCGCGCCATGCGTGCCACTCCTCGAGGATACGACGCCGGCGGTCCACAACTTCCTGATCCGCACCCGCAATGCGCTCGGCGTCCTCTTGATCAAACACGCGCGAGTACTCACGCAAGTTCTTGCGGATCGTCTTCTGCTCGTCTTTGGTGAGCAGCGTCGATGGCCGCGGGCGCCACTGGAGCTGCTTGAACTTCTCCATGGGCTCCTCGCGCAGCTGCTCACCCTTGAAGTCGTACAGGTGGTAGCCATTCTCCATCTATCAAGGGCCAACATCATCTGGTTAGCTATGCACTCTGTAGCGTCTCATCTGCTTAAAGTAGTCAAGCAGGCCAGGGAGCATCGTCTATGACCGCTGTGATTACGTACCTGGTGCTTCCATGCCGACGCCCACGTGGCGACAAATCGTCCAGAGGGGTCCCACTCGACATCCGTGATACCATAGTGATCTGCCGTGTTCATGAGCTGGAGGTTGGCGGTAAGGTCCTTCTCGGCAGCAGGCTTCTCGCCCTCAAAGTCCACATCGAAGAAGTCGAGGTCCGAGCTCTGCTGGTTGAGCACAGTGGCGACGACAACAAACCTTCCCCTGGGCGACCAGTAGATTGCGTTGCTGTTCTTCTTGTCGAGTGTTCGCAGGAGCTTGAAGTTGCCAGCGGTGGGGCCCTTGGACTTTTCTGGGCAGAAGAAGGAGACAGCAGTCTTGGGTGCCACAGCCACCTCGCCGGTCGGCGTCGTGGTCGTGATGATGAGGAAGCGGTCACCCTTGGGCTCCCACGCAAAGTTGATGACGGTGTCCTTGATGGTGTCGACAACCTCGACGGGCACGCCCTTTTCTTTTACGCGGAAGATTTCCAACGTGGTGGCTTGTGACTTTTTAGACTTGGAATGGCGATCAACCTTGACGCAGAGGTAGGCGCCGTCGGATTGCCACTCTAGCTTGACGTCGGAGACGCTGAAAAGGTTGAGCGAACGCACAACCTCCTTGGAGGGCAGGCTCATCAGACCGACCTTGGCCGGGTTGCTGCCAATCTCGGGGGTCCAGTAGCAAAACAGCTGCTCGTATGTCTTGATACCCTCACGCTGTGGCCGCGACGGGGCCCACTCGAAGTCCATGACACCCTCAATCTTGATGGAGGTCTTGTCGAGCAGGTTCATGCGCGGCAGCTCATAGACCGAGATGGACTGGCCAGGAGTCAGGCGGGCAACGTACTTATCGTCCGACGCCCACTTGAAGGCGGGCCAGGGGTTCTTGCGAGGTGGCTTGCTCGAGTCCTCGCTGGGCAGATCCAGGTTGGCAAAGGATCGCAGGGGTTTGCCGGTGGCGATGTCCCAGATGACGTAGTTCTTGCCGTCGTCGTCGATGGAGAGGGCTGGGTGGCCCGAGTCGGGAATCTCGATGGGCCGGGTCGACCAGGTGACGAGGTAGTTCTCCTGGGGTGAGAAGGCGGCCATGGTGACGAAGGGATGGGGGAAGCGGCCTAGCCTGTCCCACTTGGGGCCACCCCAGAGCTGGACACCCTGCATGTGCATCGACATCAGGTAGGTGCCCAACGGAGACCATTGCACGAAGCTCTCTGTCCAGTTGGGCCGGTCGACGATGTTCTCGGGCGCGTCTCGCTCGTTGTTCCAGTAAACTCCAACGTGGTCGCCCCGGAACATGACGAACTGGTCCCGGCCGCGGCCGGCGGGGTCGGCCATGAACGACCTGAGGTGGTCCTTGGGCTGGAACTCGTCGATAACGGGGGGTTGGTACTCGTCGTCTATCCTGCCCTCGCGGCCATAGCGGTCGATGTCCATAAGCTTGTTGACGCGGAGTGTGTGCTTCTTGTCGAGAGGAACCTGGTCGAGCTGCCTGACAGCGGCGGCAGCCTCGGAGGGCGACGAGTACTCGACGAATGCGAAGCTGGGCGGCGGGGACGGCAAGAGTATATTAGCATCACCATGGTCGCAACTGCTGCCATGTGCGAAAAAGGTGTGCACATGCGCCGCGCAGTGTCGCGGGCCAGGGATCTTGTTCTTACTTGAGCGATTTGCCATCAGGGCCCATGGGCATATCGACCTGCTCCTCCTTCGTCCTGCCAACCGAGTTCAGCTTCCTTAGCAGAAACTTGACCAGCTTGGGCTTCTGCTCCTCAGTAACGGTGGGCAGGCCGTCGATGACAACGAAGGTATCGTATCCCTGCTCGACCTGAACCTCGAACCTCTCGCGAAGGTCCGAGACGTCAATCTCGTCCTCGTCGAACTCGTCCTCGTCGAGGTCCGCCTCGCGGAGGTGGTCGAAAGAGGGCGCCATGCTGGGCAGTAGCCGCTCGCGTCACTGGGGTGAAATGGGCGTGGCTAAACTGGTGAGCCCAAGCAGCAAATTGGGAGCGCAATGGGGTTGTGAGAGGTGGTGGTGGCCGTTGTCGTGGTCGATCTGTGTGGGCTTTTTTGTCGAGTGCTTGTGCTGCCTGCCGCTCTGGGTCGCGACCAGCTTGATTCGAAAAAAAAATTGTGCGAATGTGCGCGAGCGGGGTTTACTCACAAGGCGGGCGGCGACTTTTGCTGCGGCTGGGGGGGTTGCGGCGTATAATTCTACGTGACTCGCCCTGCGATCCAAGAGGCTGCCACACCCACTACAATGGTTTTTTCCTACTCCTACTCTTATTCTTTTGTTTATTCGCGTTCTTATTTGTAGTTCTGCTCCTAATGTTATTTATTCCTATTCCTGCGCTTGTAGCCCTAATAGCCTTTCTATTGTTTAGGCGGGTGGACTGACATCTTTTTTTTGTGGTGGGCGCCGGTGGTTGCGTGTGTCCTCGTTGAGCGCTAGTTCGAACAGCTCTCACCGCCCGCGTCCTCAAAGTGGGCCAGGATGTGGGCCAGAACCGTAATGAGGGGCTCAAAAAGGTACCAGCTACCCCAGTCGGCGCGTGTGCACACGCAGAAGACTGGTACTGGATACACGAATGCCGCCTTGGGCACTCCAGCAATCGGTTTCTTGGCCTGATTATTTTCTTTCCTCCCCGCCTGTCGTAGCTGAAGCTTGGTGATAGTACGGATACATACGCTCCTGCTGGCATCCCACAGCTCCGACACTACTTTCAACGGGCAAGGCAACACCACGAACGACACCTCTTGCCCTATCCTTGGTGCAGATAAAAATGGTATGTCTGTGACTCTGACCGCTGCCCCCGTTCTCTCGGCAGCGCGTGGGGTATCAGCTAACCGGTGGCTTCTCATCCTCCAGTCGTCCTTCAGTCCCACCCAGATCTTCGAGGAGGGCACGACAGAGGAAAAGGGCGAGAATGCTCGTCTTTCTGCCTTTGTCGGCGCCATCGCTGTTGGTGATCTGGTCAAGAGCACCCTGGGCCCCAAGGGCATGGACAAGATCCTGCAGTCGGCGTTAGTGTCCCGCGGCGTGACGTCGACGTCCATGACTTTCTGCTGTGTCATATCTAACCGCGGCATCACGGCGAGCGCAGGTCCACCGGCGAAATCATGGTGACAAACGACGGCGCCACTATCCTCAAATCCATCGCCCTTGATAACGCCGCCGCCAAGGTGCTGGTCAACATCTCCAAGGTCCAGGACGATGAGGTCGGAGACGGCACGACCTCGGTGTCGGTGCTGGCCGCGGAGCTGCTGCGCGAGGCCGAGAACCTGGTCAACAAGAAGATCCACCCTCAGACCATCATCGAGGGCTATCGGATAGCCAGCAGGGCGGCTCTCGAGGCCTTGGAGAAGTCAGCGGTCGACCATAGCACGAACCCCGAGGCGTTCAAGAAAGACCTCATCGCGATCGCCAGGACGACACTAAGCTCCAAGGTGCTGGCACAGGACCGTGATCACTTTGCCAAGCTCGCATGTGACGCGGTGCTGCGGCTGCAGAACTCGTCAGACCTGAGCCACATCCAGATTATCAAGAAGGCCGGCGGCAAGCTGAGCGACTCTTTCCTGGACGAGGGCTTTATCCTGGACAAGAAGATTGGTGTCAACCAGCCCAAGCGGTTAGAGAAGGCCAAGATCCTCGTGGCCAACACTTCCATGGACACAGACAAGGTCAAGATTTTTGGCGCCCGTATGAAGGTCGGTTCAACGAGCAAGCTGGCCGAGCTGGAAAAGGCCGAGAAGGATAAGATGAAGGCCAAGGTGGACAAGATCAAAGCCCATGGCATCAACTGCTTCATTAATCGCCAGCTCATCTACAACTGGCCCGAGCAGCTGTTCACCGACGCCGGCATCATGTCGATCGAGCACGCCGACTTTGACGGCATCGAGCGCCTGGCCCTCGTAACTGGTGGCGAGATCGCGTCCACGTTTGACCACCCAGACCAAGTCAAGCTAGGACAGTGCGACCTAATCGAGGAGGTCATCATCGGCGAGGACACACTGATTAAGTTTTCGGGTGTGGCGGCGGGCGAGGCCTGCACCATCGTGCTCCGCGGCGCCACCGAGCAGCTGCTGGACGAGGCCGAGCGCAGTTTGCACGATGCCTTGGCCGTGCTGTCACAGACGGTCAAGGAGCCCCGCACGACACTGGGTGGTGGCTGCGCCGAGATGGTCATGGCTAAGGCCGTCGAGGGCGCCGCAACCCGTGTCGAGGGCAAGCGACAGATGGCGGTGGCTTCCTTTGCTGTCGCCCTGCGCCAGCTGCCCACCATCCTGGCCGACAATGCCGGTCTAGACTCTGGCGAGCTCGTGGCACGCCTGCGCAAGGCCATCTACGACGGCATGACCACATACGGCCTCGACTTGATGACGCCTGGTGGTGGTATCGCGGACATGCGTGATGTGGGTGTGATCGAAAGCTACAAGCTGAAGAAGGCAGTGGTGTCATCTGCAAGCGAGGCGGCCGAGGTAAGCTTGATCTCCTGCGTGGCTTGTACTCAGATTCCACATGCGTTTCCGCATGCGTACTCCAGTGTTAACCAGAAAACCCGATCACAGCTTTTGTTAAGGGTCGATGATATCATTAGGGCAGCACCGCGGAGACGGGAGAGGCACTAAGTTATTGTCCCTGCCTCCCGAGCAGGAAGCTTCTCTGGCAGCAGTCCTTTCGAAAAAAGCTGTATTATACCATAGACGACGACAGCCATGGGCCGGCTAATGAGAATAAAATGGCAAAATACCCAACCCCACATGGGTTTCTCGCGGTGACATCTTGACGTTTTGGAGATGAAGATGGCAAGATACAGGGTGACATATACGAGGTAAATAGGACAGCGTCGACGTGGATAGATTGTGTAAGAGACTAGTAGATTTGGCTGGACGCTGCCGAGATAAGGGGCAGGTTGATGAGGGCTTTCTGATGTGCTGCCGGGAGCGACATGTATTGTCCCGACCGTGGATTCCGTGACATAGTTCGCGACTGAGGGTATTATCTGTTATAATTGAACTGCGTGTGTTGGTGACGATTTATTGTTGTAGGTTGCCAGAGAGGTCCGAGTTCTTTTCCATGCTAGCTGGTGGTGTCGTGTGACAGGCAACCCACACGTGATTCAATCGAGTTCCCAGCTGAAGCCTCCATGACGTTGATAGCGCAGGGGAAGAGAGCCATTCGACGACCCACGACGAAAAAGTCGCGCCCACGTATTCTGATTCCCTGTCGACGGCCACATAGTAAACTTGACGACAATCTGTCGCGCAATCCACAGCAACATGGCTTCGCAGCCCTCAGACGAGAAGGATCCTTGGAGCGACAAGCACAAGCAAAAGTTTCGCAGGTACAGCTCCGCCCGCACCGTACACTGCTCACTTTCGAACCGCCCTCGTCGTCATGATGGCCACATGAGGTAACCTTCTCGCCCGCTTCTTATCGCGACCAACTTGTAGCAAGAGCAAGAGCGAGTGGTATGACCCTTGCCAGGAGGCGGCGTCCAAGAGTATCCAATGCCTTAACCGCAACGGCGGGGACAGGGCCATGTGCCAGGACTACTTCCAGGCCTACCGTGACTGCAAAAAGAACTGGGTGCGTTGCCAGCGAGCCCTTCCTACTGTCTGCCTATGCTCGCCGACTGGCCGTATGCTAACAACCTAGGCTAGATCTCCCGTCGCCGACACGATGTTGACAAGCCGGATCCGACCCTGGCACCCGAGGCATGACGTGTTACTCGACATCTAGCGCGCGGCCGGTGCCGGACCCATGCAGCTCCCAGCGGGGGTTTACACGCTGTGTCTCTCCTCACACGGCGCATCTGTCGGTCGGCTTCGTTCGGGCAGATGGAGGAGGCGGCAGATCCAGCCCCCAGCCGCCAAGCTTGCCTGTACGACATGTAAGATAGCTGATGGCCAGCACTCATATCACGCACAGCCCGAAAAGGTTTATGTCATCGTGCTAGCATATAAACCAGCGATGCGAGTTTTGACCAGGACTAGCCGTATTGGCTATTATCACGAGTTTTTCCTGTGGCTGGGCCGCTAGTCATGGGCGTTGATAATGCCACACTTCCCGACAGAGCAGACACATGGTCGCAAGGCACGACTTTATGCAGCGAGATGAGGCGTTGCGGAGGAAGTCCGAGTATCTCCTGGCTATTGGGAGCAATAAAGAAAAGACTCTCAAGTTCTGGGCTCAGCCAAAAAGCAGGAAGACCCCACTTTTTACTGTCCAAGCGAATATCGTGTGAGCGTGGTCGCATGCATGGTATTTTCTGACCACACCAAACCCGGACCAGAGGAGGCACCCCCGCTCGCAATACCAACTAGTGCGAGCTGGTTTCTGGACTTTTGTCGAGTTGTTTCCAGCTCTTTACGGCGAGGTCGTCTTTGGACACGGCGAGCTTGGGTTCGCCGGCTCGGACTCGAGTCGTCTCGGAGGGGGATCCCCGTTTTTAGAAACGGGGGCCCTGTTGGCCTTTTGTCGCGCTCAAAATGGATTTCGTCTCGGACCCCGGCAATCCCATGACGCAACGTCTCATGGCCAATATCGACCCGCTGGCTCGACCTTGGAAGAAACGGGGACCCATCATGATGGCGGCGTCAATGCTTGTTTGCACATCTCCCTCGTCGAGACCGGCCCGCTCCACGGAATGGATCTGCCCCGTAGGCGAGCACTTTTCTGTGGTGGTGGGTAGGAGGGGATCGATCTGATGCTTTCCGTCTTGTTTCCTTCCCGCGTGGCGCAAAGTCTGTTCTGAGCTTTTGTGATATCAATTACTCCCACATCAGGCACATTTATGTCCTGTTCAGCAGCCGCAGCCGCCGTGGCGCCCAACTCCGAGTCCACACCGGCAAGCCCCTTCCCTGCCTCCATCGCGGCGCCCACCTCCCCGTTCTGGCGAACCTCACTCGAGTCTTGGTGCAGGAGCAAGCTCCCATGGGAAGGGTGGCGTTCCGGCTCTTTTTAAAAGTGTCCCATGCCCCCGGCCCTACGAGCGCATCGATACCCGGCGCCTGGCTACCGCATCGGAACGACGTTTACAATCCCATGTTCCCAGACATCGCTCCGTCTGTGCACTGCTGCACAGCGCATCGGTGTTAGCCCGAGACAAACTAAGCGCGCGGAAGAATGGACAAGAGGCGGCACCTCGTTGACCTCCTGGCCTTGGGGTGCGTGGGCTGGACTGCTGGAAGAGGCGCTCCGCGCAAAGAAGAAAACATGCTGACCATACAACAGGGGTCTCGTCGCAACCACCAGCCGCTTGGGCGCCAGCTACGACAGTAGCATCGGCTTCGGTAAGTCGCGATATCTCTGGGCTCCTTTTGAGTTTGTTTTGGACATGCGCTGACCAGAGTGTCGAACACACTACCAGAGCGACCGATCCACCTCTTCGTCTTGGCCGTCCTCCTTGTAGCCGCCATCTCTTTCGCCCTTTCCCGAACGTCCCCTCCTGATCCGACATCGGCCGGCTTCAGCGTCGTTTCCCAAGATGAGCCAGCACTGCTCCCTGCGCCTCGCAAGCTTTCAACACGCTGCGGCTGGGCAAAAAAAGTCCCCGGATCTCGCTTCGTCCTCCTCGTCGCAAGATGGGTGCCGCAAACGGCTGTCGCGCGAGCCCTCGGGCGCATACCTGTGAAAGTTTTGCTGCTAGCCTTGATGTTGGCATCTCGCGCCCTGCTCTTCTGGCACGTCACCAGATTTGTGCACTGCTCGTGGAGCTCTGCCCAGGTATACTACAGCCGCACGTGATTAGGCGTTGGGCTTCCTTGTGTCCGTGACTGACACGCGCTCCCCCCACAACACAGTACTTTCTTCCCTTGTCCGTGTTCGTCTCGGACATTGCCCTGCCCGCGTGCCGTTCACGACAGCTACGACTTCCATTCAGCAGATATGACCCTGAGGAGGAGACAAAGGAGATGCAGGATGATGGCGCCAGGCAGTCCGGGTTATATCATGTGGCCAGGGCCCTCGCCTTGGCGTTCGTCTGGGGTCTGGCAGCAACACGAATGGAATCGTTCTGGGAGAACCGGACGGGCACTTTCTGCCCGCGCGGCTCAGCCCTGGGGCCGTCGGTCTCGGTCGCGCAGCTGATCAGCTTGGCTCTCGATGCTGCCATCTTGACCATACTGTCTCGCACTCGTGTGGACAGCGCCGGCGGTCGGATTGCTGGAACAACTTCTTCCTGCTGGGCGCTCCTGGCAGCCGCGTGCTCCATCTCTGGCGCCGCACTGCTTCTGGGAGCTGCCATATTCTTGAAGTTTACCAACGACCCCCTGCGTGGGGCCATGCTAAACGGGGCCGAGATGCCCGAGATGGCCTTGGACACCATTACCGTCGTCACCCTGCTACTCTCGACTATCCATTTGTTGGCAGTACTGTGCCCAGCAACGGTAGCGCTCATGATTGTCGGGCTGAGCAGCTATGCGCGCCATCTCGTGTCACTGCCCGACCAAGTCCTGCCCCAGTCAGGATGGGCCGCCGTTGCCGTCTTAGGTATTGCTCTGTTGGCCATCACTGCACTCTTGCTGAGGTTGGACAGGGATGCTCAGCTGTCGCATCGATCGCACACCGCTGATACACTAGCGTACAAGGCGCTTGTTGGGTTGTATCTACTTCTCGCGGTCGTCGCCCTCGTATCGTCGGTGTCGTCGCAGCTCTCCAGGGATGCAGTGTTGCGAGACACACCACCGCTGACAGCGCTGATCTCAGATGCCAACGCTGAGGCACTGCGATGGCAAGGGCAGGCAGCAAGCAGCAAAACGCTCCAGGAGGCGGTCGAGGCGTACCAGCAGCGGCACGGCATCCCGCCGCCGCCCAACTTCGACAAGTGGTACGACTTTGCCCTGGGGCACAACTCGCCCGTCATCGACGACTTCGCCCAGATCAGTGCCGACCTGCTGCCCTTCTGGGGCGTCGAGCCGTCCGTCATCCGCAAGCAGACGAGCCAGATGCTCGAGGACGGGTCCTCGTCCATGATCGGCGGCCTGAAGATCCGCAAGGGCGATATCGAGCTGTCACCGCACACGCCGGGCACGCACAGGTGGATGATGGAAGGCCTGGCCAAGATGATCCTGCCGTTTGCCAAGTGGTTGCCCGACCTGGACCTTGCTTTCAACCTCGACGACGAGTGTCGCATCGCCGTTCCGTACGAAGACCACGAGCTACTGCAAGACTCGGCGCGCAAGGCGCATGCCCGCCTCTCTGCCACCAGTACGGGCGGCATGGCCACGACGTTTGAGGCGGGTAGCGTGTCATGGCCTGAGCCAGAGAAAGAGTCGATGAGCCCTCCCCTGTTCGTCGAGTACCACGCCGTCCCGGTGTTCCGTGACTTTGTAGCCCCGACCTGCCCACCAGACTCTCTGGCCAGAACGTGGCGCTGGTGGAACCGCAAGGAGACGTGCACGCGCTGCGCTGCGCCGCACAGCACCCTCACGTCTGCGGGCACCGTCGTGTCCAACTGGACCTTGTCGGGCGATGTGTGCCACCAGCCGGACCTCGCCTACATGGACGGCTTCCTGCTCTCGCCGTCGACCATGCGGTCCACGCGGGACCTGATGCCCGTCTTCAGCCAGGCCAAGATCCCCGGCTTCGCTGATGTCCTACACCCGTCGCCGTGGAACTACATGGGCAAGGCGCCCTACGACGCCGACGACGAGGCCGCTGACGCGCCGTGGGCCGAGAAGACGAACGGCGTATTCTGGCGCGGCTCCGCCACGGACGGGTTCGCCGACCACGGCGCCTGGCAGTCATTCCTACGCGCCCGCTTCGTCGACGGCGCCAGGACGATGCGCGAGCTGCTCGCGGCGCACAAGAAGTCAGCTGGCGGGGCCGAGCAGCAGCAGCAGCAGCAACAACAGCAACTCAGCATCAACGTGAGCTTCGTCGGTGACTTCGCCCGGTGCGGCGACTGTGATGCCGAGGCCAAGCACTTCTACGGGCCCGGCGACGGTGCCGCAACGGCGGCCTCGGTGCCGTTCACAGAGCACTGGCGGCACCGTCACCTCGTGGACCTGGACGGCGCCGGCTTCAGCGGCCGGTTCCTGCCCTTCCTCGAGAGCAGGAGCCTCGTGTACCGCGCCGCCGCCTTCCGCACCTGGTACGAGGAGCGCGTCCACCCGTGGCGCCACTACGTGCCCGTCGACCTGCGCCTCGGCCGCTGGCTCTGGGACCCCGTCGCCTTCTTCGCCGACCCAAGGGGCCCTGGCCCCGCCATCGGCGAGGAGATGGCCCTCCGCAGCCGCGACTGGGCGCGCAGGGCCCTGCGGCCCGCCGACATGGAGGTCTACATGTTCCGCCTGCTGCTAGAGTGGGGCCGCGTCGTTGACGACCGGAGGGAGCGCATGGGCTTTGTTCTGCCTCCTGCCTCCGCGTCCTCGACGTCTGCTGCGCCAAGTTTTTGAGTAGGGTGGAGATAGTTCCCCTTCTTCGTTAGTTTCCTGTATAGAGTTTTGCTTGTCTGTCTTATTCTAGTGGTATTGGCAAGTTTTATATCCTCTGGCCGGCTGGTTAAAACGTTTCTCTGCACTGGGTGGGATGTATTTTTCTTGGATAAACGACCGAGACATATACCATGTCTGGCCTCCTTGGCGTCATCGGAGTTGTCCTACCATGGGCATGTGTAGATCGCGGAGAATAGAAGTATGAGTTAGGCCGTTAGGGTTCTGGACCTTCTGGCTCGCTCGGTGTCTATGCTGATTACCTGGGATACAAACACGCCTCATGGGCATTACCACAGCCTTAAGAACCCACAAGCAAAGGAAAGCAGTCCAAACCTCCCATCCTGGCTGCTCGACCTCACTGCCTCCTAGAATACTCCTCCATATTTGGCAGAAATCCTTTCCAAGTCCACTCCCGAAGCTTCCCCCGCCACAAAAAAAAAGTGGAAGTAGCTCTAAGCCCGTCCGTCTATACTATCTTAACATTGGGGAACAGGGTTGGACTCGCAGCTGCCTCTCCTCATTTGAGGAGCTTCTGCCTCTTCTCTTCTCCCTTCTCACTGAAGGGTCTTCTGCTTCCTGTCCCTCTTCTTCTTCTTTTCCTTCCTCTCCCTCTTTATCCGCCTCTCGTCATCACACAGCTTCTTCTTCCTCTTCTTGGGCGGAGGAGCCTCGTTCTCCGACGATGACGATGACGATGACGACGATGACGACGGCTGCTCCTCCGCCTCCTTCTCGGACATCTCCCGCTTCAGCTTGGCAGCGCCCATTGCCGCCGCGTAGGTGTCCTCCCACTGCTTATGATGAACGTCCGCCGTGCTTTCGCGGATGGCGTGGGACTTCGCCGCCTCCTGCAGTCTCTGCTTCACAGGTTTGCAGCCATAGCTCTCACCACCCATCACCGGGGCTTCGGGGCGGGGAGACGGGGACGACGTAAAACCTTCCAGCACTGGAAGCCCGGGCCGGGTCCTCGAAGAGCCCTCTCCATTTCCCGCCACCGCCCCGTGGTTGGAGGGCGAGGACTCCTGGACAGCAGCGATGCCCTCAAGCGGGCCCAATGCGTGGTGAGGAGTATCGCTAGGCGTGTGTCTAGGCGTGCGACCATGCCCGTTGCTGGCCTGGATCAAGGCCGCCGAGTTCCTATTGTTTTGAATGATGAGATCCATTTGTTTGGTAGTTAGGAACTCTCGGTGGACCGACATGATCAGTGGAATGCCTATGACAACTTCGGCCTGCTGCCAATCAGCCCGAGCGGCGTCGGGACTGCTCAAGACGACATGATGGGTCTCGAGGGTGCCGATAGCCGCATGCAGCAGCGAGTCCACCGTCCGGCTGTCAAGGTGCTTAGCCTTGTTTGCCACGGCACGTCCCTGGCCCAGAGCCGACGAGACACCGATCCAGCGATCGGCCGCTCTCTCAAGGTCGGATCCGGGGTCCATCTTGGCGCCTGGAGCGCGCCGGTCCCGGCAAACTGATGCCAAGTGAGCACGAGTCTTAATGTCAGGCCCAGTGAGGCCTTTCACCCCGAAGCGTTGCTCGACAAGTGTCGCAATTTTGTCGAAGAACGGCTCATCAGCCGTTGGATCATACTCGTCGCCATGCTCGGTCATCAGATCCAATATCTTGATGCGCATTGCCTCACTGACGAGTGGCTTTTTCGGAGTCCGGCTTGGCTGTGTTAGAAGGTGATGTCAGTCTTTATGCAGCAAGCAGTAAGGCAATGAAAGGATGATGCAGTTGTAGAACAGAGCTCTGCTTACCTCGGCGGCAGCAGGAGGCTGTGGGATGTCTGAGTAGCCATTTCGAGTCGGCCCGACGTAGCTCACGCCATTTCCACTGTAGTACAAAGTCTGCCCACCGCGCCCTCGCTTGCCAGATTCTCCATGACCGTTGCCATCGACGCCCCAATCTGGACCCTAAGAGGGTATTCCAAGTAGTTAGCCAACAAGCCTCGGGTATTCAGCTGAGATATCGATATGTTGCGAAGTAGAAGACCCAACGTGAAGCAGAAAGCTCAACACGAAGTAAAAGGTGCAAAGCGAAGTAGGGTAAACAAACCTGCCGCATGGAACTAGGGGCCGTAGGGGCATTCGGCGGCGGCTGGGACCCGTGAGCCTTGCCGCCACGGGCGTAACCATGTGAAGACATTGCAAAAAGTCAGGTGGATAGCTGGCAGTGATGCTGACAGAGCTACTGAGTCCCTAGCAATGGATCTAGGAACCCACATATGTTCTCGTGGGCGGGATAGGAGTGAGAGATGTTGCAAGAGACACCCACTTCTGGGTGGTGGGGGGAGGTGGAGGTGGGGGACGGGAGATGGAAGACTGCTGGAGGGCCTGGAGACGATTTTTACATCAGCCTCGGCGTCCACTGCCGGGTGGCTCTGACAGGAAATATCAGACAAAACTGAGACTAGCCAGCCGCTACATGGCCCTTCCCTGGGCTGCCCCTTCCCCTCCAAAAATTTGCACACCCAGCACAAAAGTCACAATTTCTTCCGAGCACAAATCTTTTCTCTTTGGCACCAAGCCTGCACAAGCCCTACTTCTTCCCAGGACCTTCTCTTATTCTCAGAACCTACTCTTCCCAGCACCTGCTCTTCCCGCAACCTCTGCACCCACTGTCCATTGTGTACAGCAGTCACTCTTGTAACAACCTCTACCCGGGCCTTCCTTCCCCGCCCACGAAAACATACGTGGAATTTCTAGATCCTTTACTAGGGTCTCAACAGTCCTTGCCTGTGTCACTGTTACTCCTTCTTGCCCACTACACTCCTTTCAAGTCTGTTCCAATATCTACATGGATATGACTTTGCTTCTTGCTTAGTTCCCAAAGCGGCTTCCCTGCGTTACAGCCGCCCCGCCCTTCAGCTCGTCCAGCCTCTTTTGCTCCATATTCTCCGTCTTTCATACAATGGATTGAGGCATGCCAGGCCAATCCAAAAACGGGATAACCACCCCTTTGGAGACACCACTGGCGCTGCGCAAAGCTATCTGCCAGCGTGCTGAAGAGAGAAGACAGGTAGAGCATCGGGCTCTCCTTGGGAAAGTCACCACCACGCCACGGACAAAGGTAGGCCCAATAGCCTATCCTATGAAACGAGACACGAAATACTTACAAATTCACCTCGCTTACCGTCCCAGGCACGACGAGAGGAGGCTCATAGGAGCTTTGAATCCGTGCTAGCCGAGGACAGACTCGCGCCGCGCCGCGCCCGGGGCCCTCTGTTGAGATTCCCATCAGTCCAGGCGCGGGGTGAACTTCGAGGACACGGCCCACCAAGAGACAACCACTTGAATCCAGAAGTGATCGTCATGGGTAAACGACATGGAAAGGAGGTGCCAGTCACCGTCTTACCTCGCAGGGCCCCCCCTCAAGCACTCGCCAAACCACCTGTACTTCCGGCGAGGCAAGCCAGGCCGAAGTCTCGGGTCGTGGAGAGGCGGGAGCGTCACCCTCCAGGCGCCCGCCTTTCATCGCGGAATGCAACCTACCAAGGCGACGACGGCAAATCGGATTCTGAGCAAGAGGATGAAGACGAGGGTGGCGATGAAGAGCGCGAAGAGGAAGACGACGAGGGCGATGGCTATGCTGAGGCTCTGAAGTTGTTCGAATTCAGTGAATCTGTCTCCGCAAGCGAATCTGACGACCGCTCGGACAACAATGAGGAGCCGTGGTCCGGTAACCCCAGCGAGGAGGACAAACTCGCACTTCTTCGCGAGTTCGTATTCCAAGGCAACGACTGGTACAAGGGCCTACGTCGTGGCCGCCCTCAGAATCGCGACATGCGCTTCTGGGAGAAGGTCCTTCGATCATTGGGCAAGCCTCGGCCGTTCTCTACCTGGGCGCAAGCAGCTGCCACCTTCCGCCGCGTTATTGGCCCCCGGCGAGCGAAGGCCAATAACGGCACGCGGGCCAAGAAGCCTCTCGCCGGACCAGAAGGCGAGAAGGACCGACTGATCGACAAGTGCATCCAAATATGCAGCCAGCGTGACATCTTGGAGGATTTTGTCGGACGTGGATATATCAAGCAAAGGTGCATTCGTGAGATTGTCCGCGACGGCTCTCTTGAGTGTATTCTCAAGGGACTACTGGCTGATCACTTTGGAGGTGCTCATGCCGGCCAAGACCACAACCGCAGGAACGAGAGGGCAGAAGATCGGGCGGCTGAGCATGGAGACGGGACGGACGGCGATGGGCCGACATCGGAGTCTGGCGAGTCTGATGCCGCCAACAATTCCTCAGAATGGGAGGAGCCGCGCGATGGATACCACACGCCGGCTTCATCTCCGCCCCTCGTTCGATCGGTCAGGGTCCAGCATCGGTCAAAGAAACGGGGCCGAGAAGAGAACGAGACAGTGTCTGAAGAAGAGCCTTTGTCGAAGAGGATTGCTGCTGGTTTTGCGAAGATCATACAGGAGTCCGAGAAGGCGGATTTGGCCATGCGCCGAAAGAGGGAAACTGAAATTATGGAGAAGGTCGAAGCCATGATGGCCGGGCTGGGCAAGGGAAAGGCACGGGAGATGTAAGATCCTCTTGACGGGCTTCTGCTGGGAGAACTGTCTAAGCCAGCAACATTCTGGATTGCCACGCAAGTGGCAGAGATGCAGTGGAAATAAGAACGGGAAGAGCCAGTGTAAACTACCATCTTTGGCATCATGTGGAGGTGTAATCGCCTTTGGGTTAGCCTTCTACTTCCGTGCTTCGCCCATCATCTATCTCCACATCGTCTCATTCTTAGAGTCCGTTCCCGGTTCCTTTTGCAATCGTCCTTGTTAGAAAAAACCGAGTTGATTCATCGAGTTCGACAACTCTTCCAGCTCCTGTGTCGTGACCTTGAAGGCTGTTACCAGTATCCACAAGCCTTCACCGCCTGTGACGTTCCCGGGGGAAAGGAGCGGATTCGGCAAGTGGGTTCCATGTAAAACCATGCATCCAATCAGATGTACCTCAACAAATCATGCAGCCAGCCCCAACAGAACAGAAAAGAACAAAGATGGAAGGAGGAAACAATACCAGAAACCCGCAAACCCCCAAGCATGGTTGAATTTAAACCATTTAACCTCCACAATGGCATCACTCGACTGCACCAAACATACGAGTGTCGTTTACAACGCCCTAGTGCTCGTGTCTGGACGGCCGCATGTCCTGTCGGCCCGGCCCAACGCCGTCCAGGCTTGTGATGTTGTCTTCACAAGCTTCCGAAAGTCGTGGGGCTCCAAGTGGATTGGAGAAGGAACGGCAAGACTTGGTCATCCCTGCTCCGCCACCCCGCACCCTGGATGGCGGCTGATGGGACAGGGATCACGATGAAGCGGCCCGGCGGACAAGTGATCATGCAAGATGTCCCTAGCTCGAGGGTCAATGCAAGACGATGCATTACGGTAACTGTCCGTACCAGACAGCTTCCAGCTGCGCAAAGAACCGTGACTGTCTCGACGGACCCGACTTGCAGGGCAGTGAGGCCAGAACTAAACCGGATTTGTACTAGTTACCCAGCAAAATCTGCGTGTGGGGCGTCAGCTGCTGGAGCACAGGGCGGTCGAAGGAAGCACCCAAGTTCGATGGGATTTGAATGATGGCACATCTTCCCGCCTTTCCAAGTTTGGAAGGCGGTCAGGAAGAAGGACCAAAGCGGGAGGGACCCCTGATGATAATCACGACTGCAGCAACGCGCTGCCCCTCCAGCGTATTCCAACAGAATGTCTCGACAGCACCATAAGCACATGTTGCCGAGCGAGTGAGGTGGCACCAACCGAAAAAAACCACCCAACCAAAATAGGGGCACACTTCAAAAAAGCCATTTATCAACAACAAAAAATAGGAATTGCCTGCTTTTTCTATGCAATTTAGTGGGCAGTCAAGATTCTAGCTAATTAATGGCGCCTTGAAGCCGTGCTTTTTTAGGCGTAGAATGGTGCTGAGGCATAGCGAATTGGGTTTGTTTTGATTGAGATTGATGCTTTTTGCTATGGAGTTTGTATGGGGGAAAGGGTTTAGTGGCTCGTTTTTTTTTTCGGTTGGTGCCGGACTGCTGAGGTTTTTGCGTGCCGTCGTCGAGGGCCCCTGTTTGTCGTGCCACCAACATGTCTTCAAGGAGGGGGGAAGGAAGTTGAGGAATTCCCCGCCATTATAAATTTTAAAATTGAGGACAAAACGCATGGCTCATGTCAAGTGGGAGTCAATAGCTTTTTTTTTCTCCCAGTGGCAAATCGATCCTCATCATCCCTTGCGCACCGCTCCAGCTGCAGCAGTCCGCTAACCACAGACCGGGGCTCGGACTTGCCGCTCAGTTCGTCAATCCTTGTGGAGCGCTGCAGCCGGCATTGAGCCAGCGACTGCCCCTGGCGGCAGCCCTTGGCGGGGACAGAGTCGTAGCATCGTCCCCAACAAATCCAGACACGAATCGAACCTAGCACGGGGGTACAACTTGCCGCCGAAAAGGCAAGAGCAGATTTTTTTATTGTTTTTTTTTTATAGATAAACCACACCCGAGGAAGGAGAAACAAATAAAGCCACCGCCGCCGTCAAACCCAGTTCTCCATCCTGGCTCCTGGCCTCCCCTGCCTAGTCTTGTCTGCTGCTGGCTCCGGAAACCAGCACGACCGGCCCTCCTTGGGTATTTATGTCTTTGCACTGCCCTTGATTCCAGCGACCTCGTGCTGGAACTCTAGATTTATTCGCCAACGACGGTTACTACTGGTGAGGCCACTACCTCTTTTTGCTCGTCTCGATTATTCGAGGGGGTTCTCGGCCAGCAGAGCAGGTTGAAGTGAATCCCACCACCACCACACACACACCACAACCACGATGCCCTCAACCAGGTCAACATCGGCCAAGGTGCAGGGCCAGGACCCCGTCCAGCGCCGCACCACCACCAGCGCCGACTCGGATGTCTCGGCGCCCAATACCGCACTTCACTCGCCCATGGACTCTCCCCGCCACTCGGCCTCGTCCACCTCCCTCTCCTCTCTCTCGTCGGCCGACCCCGCAGAAAAGAAGGCTGCCGGTGCCCAGCAGTACGGCAAACTCCTGGACACGTACGGCAACGTCTTCGAGATTCCTGATTTCACCATCAAGGATATCCACGATGCCATCCCGAAGCACTGCTTCGAGCGCTCCGCCATCCGCAGCCTGAGCTACGTCTTCCGGGACATGCTCCTACTTGGAACCACTTTCTACATTTACTACAACCATGTCACCCCCGAAAACATCCCCTCCAAGCCCCTCCGTGTCGGGCTCTGGGCTCTGTACACCGTTCTCCAGGGCCTCTTCGGTACCGGCCTCTGGGTTCTGGCCCATGAGTGTGGTCACCAGGCCTTCTCCCCCTCCAAGACTCTCAACAACCTGGTCGGCTGGATCGTCCACTCGGCTCTCCTGGTCCCTTACTTCAGCTGGCAAATGTCCCACAGCAAGCACCACAAGGCCACGGGCCACATTGAGCGCGACATGGTCTTCGTGCCCCGCACTCGCGAGCAGCACGCCACCAGGCTCGGCCGCATGGTCCACGAACTCTCGGAGATGACCGAGGAGACCCCCATTTACACTCTCCTGCACCTTGTTGGCCAGCAGCTCTTCGGATGGCCCCTGTACATCATCGCCAACGTGACGGGCCACAACTACCACGAGCGCCAGCGCGAGGGCCGTGGCAAGGGCAAGAAGAACGGCTTCTTCGGTGGCGTTAACCACTTCAACCCTAGCAGCCCCCTCTATGAGAACAAGGACGCCGGCAAGGTGCTGCTGAGCGACCTCGGTATCGGCCTTGCCATCACCGGGCTGGTGTACCTCTGCCGCACATTCGGCTTCCAGAACATGCTGGTTTGGTACTTTATCCCGTACCTCTGGGTCAACCACTGGCTGGGTAAGTTTTTGGCTTGGCTCCTCCCCCCGTTGCGTGAAGTGGAGGGGGTTTCCCTGACGGTTGGGCCTGTCATGTTAAACGACTAACGAGACAAACGACAGTCGCCATCACCTTCCTGCAGCACACCGACCCTTCGCTGCCGCACTACACGGCTGAGGAGTGGAACTTCGTCCGGGGCGCCGCCGCCACCGTCGATCGCGAGTTCGGGTTCGTCGGCCGCCACCTGTTGCACGGCATCATCGAGACACATGTGCTGCACCACTATGTTAGCACCATCCCGTTCTACAACGCCGATGAGGCCACCGAGGCCATCAAGGGTGTCATGGGCAAGCACTACCGCAGCGACACGGCCGGCGGACCTGCCGGTTTCCTTGCTGCTCTGTGGAAGAGCAGCCGTATGTGCCAGTGGGTTGAGCCCAGCGCCGAGGCCACTGGTGCCGGCAAGGGCGTCTTGTTCTTCCGCAACCGCAACAGCATCGGTACTAAGCCTATGAAGCTATAGGCTCAGTAAAGGAGCCAAGTCGGAGCTATAACTCTGTCAGCTGACGCAAGGACAGACGGTTCCTGGCCCAAGGCTTCTATTAGCCGACAGACTCGTTTCGGATTGGTAGGCGGCGCTTGGGTTCCTGTTAGCATACGAATTCCAAATGGGCATGTCCAGTATTGGGGTTGATGGCCTTGTCCACAGCTCTTGGCAATTCTCGGCCGCGGCGGCAGCCTTTGCCTTTTCTTTTACTGTTACTTTTCCCCTATGTTATGCATCATCGATCGTATATTCAGAGAAGGAAGCCGTCGGGGACACGAGCTCTCTTATTCCAGGCAGACAGACCGGCGGGATGGCTGAGACTAGATGAAGGTGGTGCAAAGACTTAGAAGAAGGATGATGAAGCCCGAAAGCAGAAGAGGCGGGTTGGGGACGATGGCCAGGCTAGAGAGGCTGTGGATTGGAACATTTTGGGAGGTTCGCTTGATGGCGTCACTAGGAGTTTATGAACGCGACATAGATTATGACTTTTTCCACCTTGGCCCCACCACGAACGACTATGTGACTGACGACGTCAGGTTTGTAAGTAGTCGGCGGAGAAGAGAGATTTGTAACCTGGCTTGAGAAAATCAACAATGATATGGGCATGGGAAGTCCGGGAGTTCCGAATGCGGAGAACGAGTAAGTGAGCACCTTTACTCTTGCTCGCCACCTACCGTTCCCCTCCCGCCCGACAAAGTGGCTGACTGAGTTGCTATGGAAAAGTGACCGCACTGCGCAAGGCGAAGCCTGTCCAGGAGGATACGATCCATCACTCAAGAGCCTGTACAAGAAAACAAGAATACAACGCGAAACAAATCGATCCGCTTTGAGACTGGGCGTATTAAAATATGTATCCCCGTGCCTGAGCCCCTCGGAAAACACCTCATTTCGATGAGTTCCATGTCTCCTGGCAGCACCCCAGAGGCGGGGTGGGGTGTTGGTGCCTCTCAAGCTGCCGCCCCCCTTTTCCGATTGCCATCCTTCTGCCTCTGCTTGCGCGCCTTCCTCTTTTGAGTTTTGGAAACCCCGGCTGGACTCGACCGCACACCATTCTTCTTGTTCTTGTGTCCCGCCGCCGCGCCGCCTGAGCCGATGTCCTTCCTGGTGGCCAAGGCATCGTCGTGAACTGCCGCGGCACTGGCGTCATCAGAATCCGTGTCGCTGGATGGGGCGACGGGGAGGGCCTGGCGCCGAAAGCGCTTGATCCAATCGTCGGGGGCTGGTGTGACCGCCCGGCACGCCCGGCGTGCTAGATGCTCCTCTACGGCACTCTCGCCTCCGCTGCTCGAGTCCTTGTCCTCGTCGGAATCGTGAGTTGACGGCATGGACGGGGCCTGCCGACGGTCACGCCTGATCCACTCATCTGGGGCCGGCGTGCTTGCGCGGACCCTGTGAGCGAGATTCTCCTTGACCATGTCATCTTTCTCTCGCTCATCTGAAAAGCGCGGCTTCTTGGCCGGAACGAGCGAGCCGCGGCCCCCGTCGCTGCTGCGGAGTCTCTTGGTGCAGCCTTCGGGAGCAGCAGTAGTGTTCGCGGCACCTCCTTTGGCATCACCCGGGTCTAGGATCTGCGGGCCGGCTTTCCTTGATCGACCCTCGGTAGGGGACGGTGGAGCAAGGTCGCCCGGCTCGGCAGCGTTGGCCACCGCGTACATGGAATTGAGAAGCTCGTCCACGGCGGTTTGGCGCTTGTCGCGACGCTCACGGCTCTCCTGCAGTCTCCGCTTCCTCTCGCGGTCCTGCCACAGGTCCGCGCTGAGATTCCCCACCCCGTCCACCTCGGGGTTATGCCTGCGTCCGGATCCGATCGTGATCACGCCGGGTCGGCCCTCCAACTTTATCGACTTCTTACCGATCACGGGCGAGAGCCACGAGCTCTTGAGCCCGGCCTGCCTGCCCAGTCGCAGCAGCTCCTTCTTGGTCACCCTGGGCGGCGAGGGCGCGCGCCGCTTGGTCGGGACGATGGCCGGGATCCCCGTGCGCCTGGCCTGCTTCCTCGAGTTCACCCACGCCGGCTTGTCCACCACGTACTTGGTGCCACCGACGAGCTCCGACTTGCGCCGCCTCTCGTCATCGCTGTTGCTGCTGGCCGAGTCGTACAGGCCAATCATCTCGAGGAGCTGAGCTTGCGCCTTTCTCTTCTCGGGGGTGCGTGCGCTAGGCTTGATGGCGGACGCAATGACTGCCGCCGGCCTCGGCGCCTTTGGAGACCCATCGAAGAGTTGGGCCTGCACCTGGCTGTTCTTGGGCGTGGTCGGGCTCTGGTTGGTAGGAGGCGAGACGACTTGCACCGGGACCGATGGCCTTGGTGACTCTCCAACGAGTGTCTGCCTGCCGCGGGGCTCCCATGGTCCATTCTCAGAGTAAGCACTGACGACGCGCTCGAGCTGCGGCTCCCGGGTCTTGGTGAGCTTCTTGGTCTTCTCGGCCTTTTTTGTATTGATCTCCTTGGCCTCCTTGACATCCTTGAGCTCCTTGGCCGACTCAGTCTCCTCGGCCTCCCCGTCGTCGCTTAGCAGCTCTTGCTTCACAATTGATATTTCTTGGAGGGACAACACCGGAGCGATCTCAGCGCTTAATATACGCGAGAAGGACAGCCGGGGTAGTGATTTGTGTGCATTAAGTTTCGCAACTCGCGGCGAATCTGGCGACGAAGAGCCTTGAGCGGGAGACGCCTCGCTGACGGCAGGGGATTGGTGTCTCTCGGGCGGAGGCTCAGACAAGTGGTGCTCGTCCACCAGCCTCGGCACTTCTGCCCCCGGAGCAGAAGTCTTGACCTCCGCGTCACTTGGGCTCGACGGGTACCGAGAACCACCATCTACAGAGATGACGGAAGAGTCGACAGATACGGCTAGGGATGAGATCCCTTTGTGGACGTCAAGGGCTGCATAATCGTTCCACTGCACCGCGGGCATGGGTGGGCGCGGTGGCGAGTCGACAGGACGAGGCGGAATGGGAGGTGGCGCCGCCGCCGCCGCAATAGGAATCTCGGGACGAGAGGTATCAGGCCGGCCGACGTCGCTCTCGTCGTCGCTGGAGGATGGCTCGCCCGTCAGATCGATCACAACGTCGCCTGCGCTGGGACCTGGAGCCGGCTGACCGCGAGGGCGAGCTGATGACCGAGTCTGAGAGACAACCGGAGCAGGCGAGTGTGAGATTTTCGCATCTAATGCGGCGTCTCCGCAAGTTGCGGGCGTATCGGCAGCCGCCTGGCGACTGGCCACGTGCCTCTCAATGGGGGAGGATGGTAGGTCCCATTCGTCTGACAATGAATCTGGGTCGGCCGACGCTGCCACCAGCTTGGACCCGATGTTTCCCATCTTGGCGGGTGCGGTAGATACAGATGGCTGCAGTAGTGACCTGTTTGATGATGCCCCGCGTACCGGCTGTGCGGTCTTTTGCGGCCTGGTTGTTTGATGAGGGAAGAGAAGACGTCCTTTGTTCTGGTGCGAATTTACTGTCCTGGTGGCGGGCTCCGCCTCGCTGTCTATTCCGGTAAGATCAATAAAATCGATCTTCTTAGGCGCGAGCGCGAGAGGATGCGCAGTCGGCAGAGACGCGATCTGTTTGCGAGGCTTGCTCCGGACAGCTGCAGAGCTTTTGCGTGACGGCGCTCTACCTCGGGGTTGTTTCTGTCGATATGACCTTGGTTAGCACCATGGCAGGTACGCCCCGACGAGGTATACAGCCGGGGAACAAGGTCGGGGGAGATGAATGTCTGCTCACCGCCGCTGCCGGCATTTTCAGGCCAGGATCGCGAGTGTCCGCCGATTGCTTGTTGATGATAGATGATCTCGCGAGGAGAAAACGATACAGAGGTAAGTTTAAATGCGTAGCGGAGCGAATGCACCAGAGAAAGTCACTTAACACGAAGGAGATGCTTAAATAGAGAGGTGGAAAGAAAAACACTGGCGTTCAGAGAGCACCGGATAGGATGGACGAAACTGAACACCATAAAGAAAAATAGAGAGTAGGCAGGTGATAGTAGACGATAGTGATGGGTCTCCAGTTAAAGATACGACTGGTTGAAAGGGCATGGACAAGCAATGATAAGTTTGAGTAGGTGAGGGAAAAAAGGGCGAGTGATATTGAAGTTGAGTGGACTTCGCAGAAAAATGGCTGTGCAGATGAAGTTGGAAGGGGAGAAGTAAGGGCGTCAGGGAAGTCTTGCCAGCAGAAAATGGAACCATATCATGCAACGGGCGTTTTTACAAGCAAGGAAGCTGACCGCGGCTGAGAACGATCTGACAGTGTTCTGAGGGAGATATCAAAGCTCAAATCCCAAACAGGAAAGACTCGTTGGTTCCTTCCATTTTCACGCATCTCACACGCATCTCTTACATACTCGAGGTATTAAATATGGAACCATTCGTGTTATTATTTCTATTGTTCTACCTATTGTTATTCCCGTTTTCATTCCTCCTCCTTTCCCTACAGTCCCGTTTCCGTTTTGTTGCTTAGGTGGGACAGCCATCTCCCTTTTTGTGTTGGGCGTATGCAAAGAAGGTCGTAGGTACTTTCTCGGCCCGCCATAAAAGCATTGGAAACACGCATCACATCCGAGCCTGTAAGGGTATGCGAATCTTTGTTTGGTAATTTCAACTTCAATTCAGCCGATCTGGATTTGGAACTATGTAGAAAGATCGAGCAGCAAGCTTGCTAAAAATGCCTGTGACAACGCAACGGAGCTATAAATGCCACCCAGACGCCATGCTACTACGGTTGAGGGATCGAAAGAAAGAAGATCAGGCGTCTAAAAGAAGTGGGTATACTGGGATGTCCTTCTCGAAAACGCGCCTACCGCAGCTAAGCCCAGCTCATACAAAACAGGGTTCCGTTCCGATTGGAGACGCCTTCGTCTATTAGAGTAGGTTAGCAGGGCAACTGCAAATCGTGTACGGCAGAGCTGCCATCCTAGTTTGACGGGAAGATGTGACGGACTGAGATCAAGGCTGCTCGCGCGATTGTCTGTGCCGCATGTGCACTGCAGCTCGCTAGGAGCCTTCAGACTGCAGTTGCGGCAATAATTGCGGAATTTTCCCCTTCGTTTGTGCCCATGTAGTGTCAGCCGCGTGTGGTTCCATGCGAGAAGCTGCTCACAGATGCCGAGCACAATCCTGGACGGCCAACTTACATGGGAGACCACGCAAGGGTCTGGGTCGAGACGTCGAAGCCGACGCAAAGGTTGAGGTCCATCGAGGTCGCTTGGCTCTTGCTGTTCATGGTTTGGCACGTTGCACTGACGAAGTCGTTGAAGACGGGAACGCCGGGAGGATTGGCAGAGCCCACGTTGACGTCGTAGCAGGAAGCGAGAAAGTCTCCCTTCAAGGCGGCGGCGGGAAGGGCGACGAGGGCGCCGAGTAGAAGGGTCCAAAGCTCCATGATGGATATCGAGTTTGGATGTGCCTGCCGGTATTCCTTTGGCTTGCGCTGTTGTTGTTTGGTTTGGAAGAGATTTCTTCGAGGAAGAACGAGCGCTCGCGTGTGGAAGAGAATGGGTTACAGTCCAGTTCCAAGGTTTCGTGGTGGACAAGCGTAGTGGATATTATGCGGGCAGGCAGGCGGGCTAGGATGTAGAAATTGGGACGTCGAGGTAGAGGCGGGCCGCCGCTTGAATCTCTTACGGGCAGTTACACAAGAAAAAAATAAAATTTGATCGGAGAAATAAGCCCACGGTGATGGATGGTGGCTGATATTACTATATGGTGTACAGTTTTCCCAGTCCCAGATACTTATGATTTAAATTTATCTCAACATCGCCGTCGCCGAAAGCTTGCGTCGTGGCACCCCTTCAAACCTAAAGTTGGGGGGCGGCTACGTGGTGCCGTCAAACTGGATACCCCAACCCCCGTCGACATGGAACAAGCTTGCCATCCACATGGTGACATGCGAGTCACTCATCTGATTAGGTAGCGGCGAATGCTATTGGGCTGTTACGCTGCCGGCGCTGGATGAAATGGAACAATGTACCAACGGCGGAGTATAGCTGGAATTATCAGGAGGCCCGGGGAACACCCGCTGTCTTGATTGGTGGACTGGGAAAAGGTACATTGACGTGTAGCTGGAAAGAACTGTTCCATTCGAAACGTACAGGTTTTCATGAACGCCCTACAAAGAAGATCGCAGGGCCTGCAAGGTAAAAAGATGACGTGCAAGGGCGGCGCCTTGGCACGGGCAGGGGGCAGGCTGAACTGCCGATGCCGATCGTGGCGGATTCCGTGACCGTAGAATGCCCCGCAGCCCCACATCCATCCCACTTGCACGAACTCTAGCAGACGGGCAGCTCCAACTCAATGAAGGACGTCAAATCCACGACTGCTCCAATTCCAGCCCTCCCGCCCGCGCGCCTGTACCATGGCCATGAACGAGGCCTACTACCGACCCGCGCTGAAGAGCAGCGTCGATATCCAGCTGCAGACGGCATTTAGCGACGGCAACTGGCCCACCGTCGTGCGCCTGGCCGACAAGCGCGCAAAGGCCCTCAATGACCCGTACTATGAAGTCGTCAAGACCTGCGCAGAGTCCAGGCTCGAAGGCCCGCTCGAGAGATGCGCTGCTCTCATCCTGATGGACTCGCTCGTCAGAGCCGGCACCGCCCCCAAGGAGGCTGAGGCGCTGGAGCTCCTCGAATGGGCATGTCGCGACATACGAGGTTCTTTCAACTACTCCGAGACCCTCGGGACGCTGAGGGCCCGCTGGGTGAAGGCGAACCCGCGAAGCCCAGCTGCCCCGCTGTCTCTCCGCGCCTGCATTCAGAACTGGGACCTCGTCAATGCGCAGCAGGTACGGAGGATGGCCTTCCCGGGTGTTCCATATCCTAGTTGTGTTTTGTTTCGGTCAACTAGTGCTTGCCGAAAACCAAAACGGGCCGTTCAAGACTAGAATCATAAGGCTGACCGGCTTGCGACGTCACGCCCGTCGAACTTGCAGATTGCTGCAATCCTGGACAAATCGTCCAGCTCCCCTTCGCAGCGTCACTACATGTACTGGAGCATTCTTCTGACCTACATGCTTTCTGTCAGTCAGCTGCTGCTCCCTGAAACTTGTTCCGCCGTCGGGAACAATCCAGTCTCCTAAAAATGACCAGCTTACCAACAGCGTTGACTATTTTGGAGTGTCTGCAGACAAGTGATGAGCATTGCCCAAAGGAGAAGCAAAAGATTTATAGCATGCTGGCAATGCGACAACTAGAAAGAGCTGCCGAAACTACCGAAACGGTCAGGAGTGACCCCCTTTCCCCCATTTCCCATACTTCTACTGGCCGCTCTGCTTCACAATTTGTCACGATACCTCAGTACGACCTGCTAAGACGTTTTCTATTAAGACTCCAGCTGCAAACGCTGACGGTGTCGACGGCAAAAGCCTTGACCGCGGTCTGCGAACAGACGAGGAGGTGGTGTTCTACTACCGTTTGCTTGCTTCCCACGGCCCACCCGACGATTTCTTGAAACGGATGCGAAGTCCCACATTGGGTGCGCTGAAGCAGTTTGACCAAGGACGCAAACATCTCCTTCTCGAAGCACTTCGCGTATTTGAAAGCCGCGGACAATGGGAAGCCGTATTCGAGTTTTGTCTTCATGCACTGCAGAGGAAGGAAAATGACGGATCACCATCCTTCCTTGCTGCCGACTGGGTCGTATGGCGGCTCTTCATCGCTGCCGCGGCCAGGGTTCCGAACCAAGACGAGTTTGTTCTGTCCCCAGCCCTAGGATTGGAAAGGAAAGACCATGACGATATACGCTAACATACAAATAGGGCATTTGGCAAAGTTCAAGACCTGTTGAGCACGTTTGCCGACGCGGTCAAATCGAGGAAGGTCTCGCCAATGTACACGAAGAACATTGGCCTGGCTTTGGTTCAACTTGCCTTTCAGCTCCCCGAGCACGGGCTGGAACCCCAGTTTGACGGTCCAGCATCAGCTACCCCGCGAGTGGTTCAACTCGCGCTGTTCTTGGAACAGCACGGCCGTGAAATCTCCGCCATGGACGACGTCAAAGCATACGTTGAGCAGCTGAGCTTTCCAGAAGCGCGGTATCTCGTCGACGATGTACTGATGAAGCGCATATTTTCCAAGAAGCCGTCATCTGAACTCTCCGCTCTCTACGTCAAACTTCGCTACTTCCTGACCAGTTGCCCTCAGACCCTGGCCCATGTTCCAAGTGTGGCAGCCTCGGGACAGATACAGTCGATTCCACGTTGCAAATACTGCTCGGTCGCATGCGCCGGCACCGAATGTCATGGCTGTCTTGCCATCATTGCCGGCCTCGCCCTAGACTTGTACGTCGAAAACGAAAAGAAGGCAGATCAGTCCCAGCAAGAGTCAGACCGCGTTCCGAACGTGGAGCTGGCCCTTGTTGTCGCCATGTGTCTGTTGAAGCTAGCTGGCTTCCGTCCGGGCTTTATGCGTCAACCAAGACTGCAAAAGACCATCACCCCACTGGTTCTGCAGGCCGTGGCAGTCTTGGACACGCAGCTGGAGAAGACACCCAACCAACCACCACTGCGCCTTTTCCTTGCACAGCTGTATCTCCTTCTCGGGTGCGCTTCGCGCGCATACGAAGTATGGAGGCCCCTCGGAGTCAAGCGAACTATACATGATGCTCTCAGTCCACTGCTCTTCGACAGAATATCCACCATCTCGCCGGGCCTGTTTGCTGAACCGAAGCCCTTGATGGAGTCATTGCGAATGCATTATGCGTATTCCCTCAAAGATCCATCACCAGTCAAGATATGGGACGCTTTCGACTCTGGGAGCTACAGCTCAGTGTTGGAGGTGACCGGTTACTGCGACAAGCTCCGCCGCAGCTGCACACTCGTCATGGCAGTTGTCGAAGAGCGTCGTGCGGCACGGGCCCTCGGTGGAAGACAAGACGACCTGGATGACATCCCCTTCCTCGGTGAGTAGCCAGCATTCGTCTCATTCCGCAACAGTCGGGTTCTGGCCTGAGACTTTCCCAAAATTCACCTGTACTATGTTCGTTATACTTACAGCGACGTATTTTTCGGAACATAGATGGCATCTTCGACGACACTGAGCTGGTCACGACGATAGACCATGGATCTATTCCAGACTTTGAGTCATCGCTGACACCACGGCTTGCCCAATCACTCGGCGTCGGCCCGCCACCATCGGTATGCTACTTGAACCTTTCGCTCATATGTAGCTTTGCTTCCGTCGTTATCCTCCGGGCGATCCCATCATGAAAAGAGGACACGGTAATTTTTTGTTACGTAGCTGACGATTGCATCTCCTCACGTCCACAGAACACGCGATCCCACCTGTCTCTGCTAGGGGAAGAGTTCCTTCAGCTATGCGCCTTCGCCCCTTCGAAGGACTTTAAACCCACAAAACCCAACGACGCAGCAGACCACGACTTCGTCTACGTCAGCGAGAGACTGATTGCGGTGCACGAGAGTCTCACTAGATTCATACACCTCGAGGACACGACTTTACTCCTCACGAGCGCCGAAGAGTCTTACTATAATGCATTGACTCTGCTCTCAGGCGCTATGATGATCAGCCTCGTCACCGTGCGCGGTGAGGAGATGCCGGTATCCTTTGGCGCGAGCACTACGGCCTTGAAAACCGCCATGGCTACTCTTCGGAATGCGTTGCTGCCCCGGGAGGCTTCGCCAGCCGATACTGCGCCAGTCAAACATGTAACATTGGGACAACTGAGTGATCCGCACACGATGGCTATGCTACGTGAAACCGCTTTAGCGGTAAGACTAGGAGCGGCACTGGTCCTTGGGTATCACGACAGCCAGATGGCTCGGGACCGCACGGGAAAGACGAGTCTGCATAAGGATGCAGTCGCCGAGATGAAGGTTCTTGTCAAACTCGCGTTCCAGATTCTGGACGACATCAAGGAGAGGATCAAACTGATCAAGTCGGAGCTGGCAGAACCAACTTGGAAGGACCGAGTTATTCAATGGACATACGGCGAGGGTGAGGACGGCGCCGGACAAGAGCCATCTAAGAGCGTATTCGAAACCATCGGCGGTCGTACTGCCGTTGAGGCCTGGGCTGGCAAGGTCGTCGAAAGCTGGAGGGAAGGGATCAAGGGATGGGGCATGGTCAAGATGGAGTAGAAATCGGCTAGTGTCGATGTTGCGCTAGCAAGCAACGAGAGAAAATAAGACGGAAAAATTGGGAAAGATATTGGAAAGCAACCAAACCCCTCCAGTGTCTGGAAATCGCCACATGCGCCATAAGTTCCCATGCCATGCCATGCTATGCGTCCCTACCAGGACGAGAAAATGAAGAGGGGAAATAAGTTGAGTACAACGAAGATGCAGTGTTGGCCATCAAAAGTAGCATAAACCGGCGTGTCTGCCAGATTAGCGCGCCAGGTCCCTGTGGCTTCCATGGCTGCCCCTGCGGCGCATGGCCTTTCTCGTGTCGATCTCCTTGCGCTCCTCCCGCAGCGTCACCCAGACCCAGAACCAGCTGAGCAGCTCCAGAAAGATGAAGGTGAAGAAGACGCGGTTCTTGAGGCCGTCGCCGCCCCAGCTGGAGGGGGCGTAGCCCGGGTGGGGCCCCCGCGGGCGGGTGAAGACGCCCCCGCGCGGGCCCGCCCGGCTGTCGGCGTAGAGGGGGGACGAGGCCGAGAAGAGAAGGGTGTAGAGGAGCAGGATCATCGAGAGGGTCAGGCGGAGGGGTGCTGGCGCGCGTTGGATATCCAAATGTCAGCCTTTAGAACACGGGCATAAAAGAGGCACAAGCACGTAGCAACCGACCTTGTATTCCCCAGTGGTGAACCATAGCGACCTCCTCGGGCATGCTGAGGGAGGCCAGGTCGGCGAAACCGATAAAGGCGAGGACAACGGCGAGGAACGCGAGAGCAGGGGACTGGGAATCGAAGCTACGAGCATAGGGCTAGAGGGTAGGAAGAGAGAAACGGAGTCAGTATGCTCCAGAAGACCACTCCCAGGCGGGAGGCGGGTCACGTACCATGCCCATGGCCTCACCCATGACAAAGACCAGCGACTGGTTCGCCACAATGACGGGGTTGGTCAGGAAGAAGTAGCCCAGGGTGATGTGGAAGAGAGAGAGCGAGGTGATAATGGTGTTTGCCGATATGAGCGCCATGGTGGGCCGGTTGTGCTCGCGCCGCAAGGGCGAGAGGATGCGACGGTGGCGTCAGGAGGGTTGGGCTAGGTCGGGGTCGCATGTGCTTCGGGAGCTTGTTGCCGCCAGGGGTCGAGGTTGGAGGTGCGCCCGCGGGGAGACGCCGTGGGTCGAGGCTGAGAGAGCAGAGCGGCAGAAAGCGAGTGAAGACAAGCAACAGGCAGGTTCGGTTGTACAAGCTGCCTGGCCAGACTGGCGCGTGGTGTGAAGCTCGCTAGGAGTTTGAGGCAGAAGCCGGCTTAGGCTGTTTGACACGGAACACGGCAGGCAAGACAAGGAAGCAATGCAGGCCGCCAGGCTGCGCAGTGCACGGACCATACATATTCAATCCAGTCACCCGGTTTTAGCGCCAACGGGAACTGGTGGGGCCACCAACAAGCTCGAGCCCATGCACAGTGTGGGGTAAGAGCGGTGGTAGTGGGGCCCTCTCGCGGCCTTCCTACCCCTGGCGCAGCTTCCATGCCACTTCTCCAGCGCCGATGTCGATGAAGACAGAGCCAATACCACACAGACGCCATCAGCCAGCGCGAACCCGGCGCGGCGCTCGGGAGGACAAGACTACGCAATGGCGGCCGCAAGCAATGGCGGCGACGGCGTGTTGGCAGCCTCGCGCCACATGCGCTACTTCCAGCGATGCTTCCGCACCATGCTCCCGCGCCAGTACATGGGCAACGACAGCACCCGCATGACCCTCGGCTTTTTCATCATCGCCGCCATGGACCTCCTCACCCCTACCCCCACAGCCGCCGCCGGCGACCCGTCGCCACCACCAAAGCCCGACGCCCCCCTGACCAGCGAGGACCGCCGCCGCGTCCGCGACTGGGTCCTGGCCGCCCAGCACCCCCACGGCGGCTTCTGCGGCTCCCCGACGCACGCCCTGCCGGCGCACGAGTACGACGGCTGGGACTTTGAGGCCGCTGCCCCAGCGCCCGGCAGCCCGGGCTCCGCCAACGTCGCCGCCACCGCCTTCGCCTTGCTCCTCCTTGCCCTGGTCGCCGACCCCGCCGCCCCCGAGTCCGCCTTCGCCGGCGTGCGCCGCGCCGCTACGCTGCGCTGGCTCCGAGGGCTGCAGCGCCCCGACGGCAGCTTCGGTGAGGTCCTGGTCGACATGCCCGCGGGGCCGGGCGCGACCCGTACGCACAAGACTATCGCCGGCGGCCGCGACATGCGCTACTGCTACATCGCCTCCATGATACGCTGGATCCTGCGCGGGGATCTCAAGCAGGACGACCCCGGCTGGGTTGAGGACATTGATGTCGAAGCGCTCGCTCGGTATATCCGTCAAGCTCAGACTTTTGACGGCGGCGTTGGGGAGAGCTCCATGCACGAGAGTCACGGTGCGTAGCCGGCACCGGAAAGCACACGCAGACGGCTGTCACATAATTCTAACTGCGATATCCGCATAGCCGGATACGCATACTGTGCCATCAGTGGCCTGTCCCTCCTCGAGAGGCCCCTCGAGGGCCGAGGGTCCGTAAGCCACTGTGGCATGCACGTCGACTCGTTGCTGCGCTTCCTCGCCTCGCGCCAGATCGCCTACCAGGACCCGGCCGCCGACGAGGCCGACGGGGACCCTGACGAGGAGAATTTCCCGCAGCTATCCGCCCTGTCACGCGAAGCCGTCGCTGGGCCCTGCCCCGAGCACGTTGGGCTCAACGGCAGGTGCAACAAGGTCGCGGATACGTGCTACACGTGGTGGGTGGCCGGCACCCTGGACAGCCTAAGGAGGCTGCCGGGCGGCGGGGCCGACGTCGATATCGCGCGCGAGCCGGCCCGCCGGTTCCTCATGGACAAGACGCAGCACCTCATTGGCGGCTTCAGCAAGCACCCGGGCGGGCCGCCGGACGTGTACCACTCGTACCTGGGGCTCGCCGTCCTGGCGACCATGGGCGAGCCGGGCCTCAAGGAGTTCGACGAGTCCCTGTGCGTCAGCTCGCAGACTGTCACTTCGATAGAAGCAGGGCGCCGGGGACTGTTAAAGCAGTGTTGTGGTGGGGACAAGGCGTCTCGCGATCAAGTGGTCCGCCTTGGAGAACTGATGGCTGGCTGTGAGGCCGACACCCTTGTGGGTAAGGGTGCTGGAATGGAAGCTGCCGAGGGCGGACAGCTGCTAGAGCAGCTACTGTCAAGGCGAATGCAGATGACAAAAGCATGACATTATGTTTGGTTTACTCTTGTTCGTTAGACGGATAATAGTAGCACTGTGAATGACCAAGAGCTACTCGCAATATAATTGATAAATGCTCGAGGTTGCGTGTTGAGGGAAAATGTCTACGGCGAATTATTAATACATCAGGAAATGAATAATCACAAAAAAGAAAATGGTAGGGGACTGTGTTGACATGGTGAGAACAAGTCACCGAATAGCATTGGCAGTGACGAGAAGCCCGATTAGTAGAGTGCAGAAGGGAGTCAAGTCAGGAAAATTGGGACATGGAAGAACAAACGAGACGCTTTGTAAAGCTAGGATATCAACAAAACGAAGCCTTAACAACGAGAGGCAAACGAGAAGAAGAGGGTAGAAGAGAACGTATTGAAAAAGTAAACAAAATAAATAAGGATTGGTGAAAAAAAGGACAAGATAAGAAACCAAAGCCGACTCGACACTGTCCGTCCTATCTGCATGGGAAATCGGTCTCCGGGGCTGCTGTCTACAATACTACATGGCAAGACGCGCGACATCAGCCTGCGACGCCACGTCCGCCAGGAACGGCAGCCTCGCCCAGGGTCACGGGGCTGATGGACTGGCTCATGGCGGCGGCCGCCTCGTGGCCCGACGAGGCCGACGGGTCCTTCTTGGTACGCACCGTCTTGATGGAGTCCTCGTCCTCCTCGTATATCTCCTCCACGCGCTCACCCGGGCCGCGGACGACGGGGGTGAACGAGTCGACCTCCTCCACCTCGCTCTCGCCGACAGCAAACTCGTCGTCCTCGTCCTCCTCCTCAATCGTGATCTCGCCGCTCCTGCGCCCCAGCCCGTTTGCGCTAGCAGAGCGCGAGTGGGACCCGGAGCTCGTGCTCCTAGCGCCCGACCCGCCGCCGCCGCCGCCTCCGCCGGCAAAGGAGAGCATGGGCCCCTTGAAGATGTTGCGCTTGCGCTTGGCGAACAGAACGGAGGAGCCGCTGCCGCCGAAGGGATTGGGCGAGCCGGGCGGCTGCATAGACAACGAGGCGCCGGGCGGTGCGCCCTCGGCAAAGGGTCCGCGCACGAGCCGGATGTTGTTGGGGAACGCGCCCGAGGTTGGCGTCGCGGGCAGGACCTTGACGGAGTGGTGTGGAGACCGGGTGGCGTGCATTGTAGCCTTGGACATGCTGGTCGAGACGGAGCCGTTGGAGCTTGTGGAGCTGGCCTTGGAGTGTGAGTGGTGGTGGTGGTGGATGGAGCGCACCGACGAGACAGAGGACGAGGTCGACTTGCGCCCGCGCAGGCCAGCCGTTCCTGCAGAAGACCGCCGCATAGCCGTGCGGGGAGTCAATGGGGAGGGCGAGAGCGACTGCCTTTTGTAGGCGGAAGAATTGCCGCCGCCGCCGCCCGTGTATATCCTTGGATGTTGGGGTGGATGCGACGTCGACGAGGGTGCCGCTGACACCGCCGTGCCGTTTGGAGCCACGGCACCTCCGCTGCCAGCCGTTCCGGCTCGAGGGGCAGCCGGCGAGGCTGCGCCTCTGGCGGCAAAGCCATTCGCCACGACACCCTTGGGCAGTCCCGAGATGTTGTTGTGTGACCCCGAACTGCCAGACGTTGGGTACTTGCTGGTTTGCGGCCTCGGGCTGGTGTCCTTGGATTTGTTGTCTTTATTCCCACCCCTGCCGACCCTGTCGAGCAGGTTGGGCGTTGAGATGCTTGGACGCTTGCCCGGGCCTTTGTGACGACGCGTGTTTTCGAAGAACCAATGGGTCCAGTTCTTCCAGTGCGCCACTATAACTTGAGATGGCTTCTTGCGCACCTTTTGCTGCATGTCCTCTTGCCCGCTGGCACCACTCCCATCGACGCCATTGACACCGAGATGACTGCCCGCGCTACTGCTGCCCAGCGCGTCACTCGTGGTCACCAGGTGGAGGGTCGAACCCCTAGATCGTGCGCTGCGGAGGATACCTTCCTTTGGGGGCGGTATTGGCCTTCTCTGACGTGAGGAGCTGACTGAGCGGATCGAGTCCTTGTCTATGGGCGGCGGCGGCACCTCACTGTCGGGACTGAGGCTCCCGTTGAGCTTGTCCACGTCTCTGAAGCCAGGCGAATCCGGGATGTTAAGGTCTGGGTAGTAACCGCTCCTGCGCTCCGTGCGGCCCCTAGTCCTGGGTGGGGGAGGGTCTCCAATCTTGACGAAGCCGTGGGCGCGGCGGTGGCCTGCCGCCTCCTCGCCGACCGTCGCCAGCCTTTCAAGCCTGCTAGAGGTGGTGGACAGGCGGCGAGAACTACGGCGTTCCTGTTCCTTCTCCCGCCGTTTCCTCTCGCGTCTCCGCTGCTTCCTCTCCTCCTTCTCCGTCAACAGGGCCCACCAGCCCCCGAGTGGGTCGCAGCGTTGCGAGATGACCGACTCGATGACGGCATCCATGTTGACACCAGCGCTCCGCATGCGCTGCAGCACCTCCTTTTCAAGCACGGTCGAGAACGGTGACGGCTGCTGTATGCCTAGGATGGTTTGTTGGTTGACCGCGTGATCGGCGAGGAAGGGGTGGCTGAGGATGTCGGCGAGAGAGGGGCGGCGCAGTGGTCGCTTAGACAGCAAGATCTGGAGAAGCGAGAGAGCGATTGGAGGCAGGTGGTCTGGATATCTGGGCTCCTCGGATAGGATTTTGCGCCTCGTATCGTTATCGTCGTCCTCGTCGAATGGCAGCTCGCCGCACAGGAGGGCATAAAGAATGACGCCTAAACTCCACACATCGACCTTTTCACCCGCGTATTTCTCGCCTTTGAGCATCTCGGGAGCCGAGTAGCAGATGGTGCCGCAGAAGGTTTGCAGATAGTTTGACTTGCCCTCATATTCCCTCGTGAAGCCAAAGTCGACGAGCTTGACGTTTTCGTGCTTGTCGAGCAGGATGTTTTCGAGCTTGAGGTCGCGGTGTACGCACGATTGCATGTGAACGTACGAGACGGCGCCCACAAGTTGTGCGAACGTCTTCTGTACTTTCTCGACGGGCAACTTCCCATGCCTCAGCAGGTAGTTGTAGAGCTCGTCGCCCGGGCAGTATTCCAGTACCAGCCATACCATAGTCTCCGTAACTATAACCTCGTACAGTCGTGCGATGTGCGGGTGCACGAACTGCCTGTGGTGGTGGATCTCGCGCGCGAGGTTGGAGTCATCTTTCTGGGCGGACTTGAGGACGACCTATGATGGGTGGTGTGGCGTGACGAAGCCGACGGACCGTTAGCGGCGAGAGGGGCGCGGAAGAAGAACATGGCGTCTGCGGACATACCTTGGAGCCATTGATGAGCTTGTGCGACGCAAGATAGACCTTGCCAAATGAGCCCTTTCCAATCAGGCGGCCGAGAGTGTAATTTCCAACTGACTTGAGGTCCTTGTTCGAGAATTCGCTGTGGATAGGGGGCATGCGTTGTCAGAGGCGGAAGGCGGGCGACGGCGCGTTGAACGCGGGTCTGGTAGAGGGCGATACTTACTCGAGGAGGGCCTGATAGGAGTTCGCGAGCTGCGAGTTCCGCAAACGACGTGACATGTTAGCTACCCATGGCGCAAATAGACCACCAACCAACTGGCAGGACTGACCTTGGCCTTGCGCCCCGAATCGGACTTGGCCTTTGTCGGGTGCATCCCTCCTCCGTCGTCCAAGCGTGTGCGGGCTAGATAGAGCTCAAAACCATTCGTGGGCGCCTCTCAGGAGGCTGCCGCGCCGCCGGGGGCGCGAGGGGCCGGGCAGGTTTTGGCGTGCGAGCTGGAGCAGCCTCACAGCGCGAGGGTGGTGGAACTCAGGGGGTCCGCAAGCGTCGCGGTGCTCAACATTCAAACCGCAGAGACTATGCTAGAGACTCGAGCGGAAGGGAGCCGGCGGCTGGGAGGTGATGGGAGCCTTTGAGACGTTGAGAGGTGGCGCCGAGTACTCGGGAGGCGAGGCGTCGGGGGTCGGGTCTCGGCGAGTCGGAACGGACGCTACTGCCGAACGGGATTGGAACTGGGCGAGGTCGGCGACGTTGGCGGCTGTAGTGTGGTGACCTGGGCAGAGGTAGTGGCTGGCGGCGCGTTGGCGGTCGACCGATGCGTGTCAGGGTCGTTTCCTGAGTGCCGGAGCAGGCAACTGCAGGTCGCAAGGGGCGGTGCAATCATGGAATTGTCTTCGCTTTCCGTCCGCATTTGCACAGTGACCCGCGATTTTGCCGGGTCCCAAAAAGGGGCGTCGTCTTGGGTCCATCACGTTTGATTGGTGCGTCAGCGGGGCCGCTCCATCCCCAAAAGTCGTCTGCTCATCACACACGCTCTCCGCCACACTGTGTGATGGATGTGGCTCCGTCGCATCGGATGTCGGCCAAATCCAGGCCCAGGTGAAGAGGAAGGCTCATTGTGAGCGCTCGGTCCGGCTTTGAACTCTTCCTGTCAAGCGCTCTCGCGCTCTCTGCCGCGGATTAATAGACTGTACCATCACTGCAGAAGCAGTCCTGCGAAAAGCAAGACGAGACAAGACAGAGCTCCGAGCGGGGATCTGCTCCTGATGCGCACAGTTGTGATGTGGATATTTCCTGATTGAAATGAGCGGCGGTCCTCAAGTGCCGACGGCTCCCAGCACCTGCTTGGAACGTACTCGCCATATTCCTCTTTTGGTTACTGGGTTTAAATATTTCTATTATAAGGTTATTCCTGTCCTTATTCCCCTTATTCTCGGTTTCCATTCTCCTTGGTTCGCGAAAAGGCTGTTCCACGCACTTACAATTCTGATCCCTGGAACCTGTATCCGAATTCACGTTAGTGTAGCTTCGGGAGTGGCCCCGGCCTTGACCAACCATCTTCACATATCACTTCTGGACCTGCGTCCGCATCTTTCATTTGTATTCACTCGAAACTCAAATCCGTCGTGCTCTCCGAACACCTGAGCATATCCAAACATGGGAGTTATCGGGGCGGGGCTGCGCCTTGCGCTCTTCTGCCATCTCGCGGCGTGCGGCGGGCCTGAAGCACAGAAGCCCATTGCCCACGCTTCGGCTCCGTCGTCATCGTCCTCCGGTCTGGCTCCGCCGTCTTACAGACAAGAACTCCTCTCGCTACACAAGTCTCTTATCGAGGTCGAGTCCATTTCGGGCAACGAAGAGGCGGTGGGGAAGTTCTTGACACGGCAGCTCGAGTCCTGGGGGTACCACACCGAGACTCAGGCCATCCCAATACAATCCACCCTCGATGGCGCTAGGGAGACCACTCGCTTTAATGTCATCGCGTACCCTGCGTCTTCATCATCTAGTGCGAAGCTGCTGGTCACTTCTCACATCGATGTGGTCCCGCCGCACATCCCTTACTCCACCGACTTGGAGCCCGGCGCGGACTTCACTTCCGAGACCATCGTCCGAGGTCGCGGCAGTGTCGATGCCAAAGCCAGCGTCGCGGCGCAGCTCATCGCGGTCCGGGAGCTTATCGCGAGCAAAGCCATTAACGAGTCCGACGTCATGTTCCTGTTCGTGGTGGGCGAGGAAGTGGACGGCATCGGCATGCGCTTTTTCAGCCGCTCGCTCCAGAACTCCAGCTCGGCCCACCCGGGATTCGATGCTGTCATATTCGGCGAGCCTACCGAAAATAAGCTTGCCTGCGGTCACAAGGGACTCATCACTTGCACGGCCGCGGCTGCGGGCCAAGCTGGTCACTCGGGGTACCCCTGGCTTGGAAAAAGCGCAAACGAAGTCTTGATGCGAGGCTTGCTCGCCGTCTTGGATGCCGATCTCGGCAGCAGTGAAGAGTTCGGGAACACCACCGTGAACGTGGGGCTCATGTCTGGTGGCGTGGCCGCCAACGTTATACCCAAGTCTGCTCATGCGAGCATCGTCGTTCGGGTGGCAATTGGCCCTCAGTCTGATGGCCACAACATTGTCCGCCAGAGAATCGAGGGGGCTCTCCAGAATGTCGATGCCGAAGCACTCAGTCTAAGCTGCAAAGACGGGAATGGATACGGAGTCGTCGCGTGCAACTGTGACGTGGATGGTAGGTTGATCCGCGCCGAACCCCAGCAGCTGCTTCCGATGGAGCAACACTAATCACGGCATCGCGCCTAGGCTTCGAGTCCATTGTTGTCAACTATGGGACTGACGTCCCCAACCTCGCGGGAAACCACACTAGGTATCTCTATGGGCCCGGGAGCATTTTGGTCGCGCATTCGGACCACGAAGAAATTCGGGTTCGGGATCTGGAGACGGCAGTCGAAGGCTACAAGAAGCTGGTAAAGCATGCGCTCACAAAAGCCTAGTTTCCAAAGTGTGGCGTCGCGAACCAACGTTTTCTTATGGCACATCAAAGACGTGACAAAAATCTCTAGCACTTAGCAGCGTCGTCCATATTGGCCCATCGCTCAGGCATCACATCCCGGAAATCGAATCGCCCATCGGAGCCCTTGAGAACAGTGCCCTTCTCAGTGACTATGACGTCAATAAGATCATGCGGGGTCACGTCGAATGCCGGATTCCAGACTCCTATGCGTTGGTCGGCGACGGCGACCTTGACCGAGCGGGAGGGATCTACACTGCCGTCGTCGTTAACAACAGCACCCGTGATCTGCGTAAGCTCCTCCTTCTTCCTTTCTTCGATCTTGATGCCGGATCCCGTGGGGGTTTCGAGGTCGATGCTTGTCGTGGGCGCGGCAACTACAAACTTGATGCCGTGGTGGCGCGCGAGCACGGCTAATGCGTAGGTGCCCACCTTGTTGGCCGTGTCGCCGTTGCGCACCACGCGGTCGGCGCCAACGATAACGGCGCCAATGTTCATGGCGTCATTGCGCTGCGCGAAGAGAGCACCCGCCATCGAGTCTGTGATTAGGGTGCTGGGAATCCCCTCGAAAACGAGCTCAAACGAGGTGAGGCGGCTGCCCTGGTTGTAGGGGCGTGTTTCGGTACAGAAGGCGTGGTTCAGCAGATTGCGTGTAAAAAGCGAGCGGATGATGCCGAGTGCGGTTCCGTGCCCGGACGTGGCCAGTGATCCTGTGTTGCAATGCGTAAGCACTGAGATACGACGTTCGGGTGAGGCGTCGTGTTGCTCCTGGAGCCAGCTGGCGCCGAAGCCGCCGATGGACAGGTTGGCCTGTAGGTCCTTTTCCAGTATATTCTCTGCCGCAGCAATGTATGTGTCCAATATCCTCCGCTTGGCCTCGGGACCCTGCAGGTTGGCGATGTCCACCTCTCTGATGGCCGACTTCAGCAGCGCAATAGCGTTGCTAAGATCGACGGCTGTGGGTCGGCTCTCTTTGAGATAGTCTAGACGCGAGTCGATATAGGCAATGGCCTCCCCGGGAGATATGGCAGCTGCGGCGAGCGTTAGAACAACCTAGAACGGCAGAGGAGAATGAGATGGCGAGGAACGAAGGCAGACATACTGCAGCTGCCACTCTGGAGCTCAACCGCGACCGCCAGCCCGGCGACGATGGCGATGGCCGGAGCGCCGCGCACACGCATGGACCTGATGCAGTCGAATGCCTCCTCGCTCGTCGAGACCACATCGTAGTGATGCTCGTGGGGCAGCCGGAGCTGGTCCAGGACCTCGAGCCTGCCGCAGGTGTAGTTGATGGCCTGGAGAGACATTGCGAGCGGATGAGTCTTCGATCTAGGGACGTTGTTTGTGCCACAGAGGTGAGTAGAATAGGGACCTCCGCCGCCGCGCAGGCAGCGCCAAGTGGCAAAGCTCAAGCCTTTTTGTCGCGCTTTTTCATCAATGCCAAACCTCCCAGGATCTGCCCCGTGAGGGGCCAAAAGGCCCTGGACCACACGTGGGACGGAGCGATCGAGTTGGCCACGTGCCTGTTATCTTATCGGCCGCGGATGGCGATGGAGCTGGCCCCATGGGGGCGGACAGCGACAATCCGCCTACTCACGTCGGGCGCCGCATCCAGCTGTACGGAAAGCCCAACGTCGACAGCCAGCCCGCCCAGGTGGAATTTCTCTGGTATTCGCACGGGCCAAAAGCCAGCTTCGAAATCCACCCCGGCGCCCTCGCGTCATGACGCAAGGCGCCAGCCCCGAAGCTGTTCATCATGGAACAGCAGTACTCGACCTCTAAGGTTACCGGTATGCCCGTCATCCGCCCTCCTCCCACTTAGCTATGCCAGCTGACACTGCGCCTTGCTCCCCCTCCCGTCAGTCGAGTTTTTCGATCCCCACGACGTGTACAAGCTGCTCGCCCCCGGTCTCGTCCCTCTCCTCCCGCTGCGCAATCTCCACTGGAAGTCGCATTCCGGGCCTCCGCGGTCGATCGACACACTCCACGTCGAGCTTGTGCCAGCCGGCGCCGGTCCAAAAGCACCCAGCGTCCTCACACCCGTCGATTCGCCCAACCCCAAGCCGACGTTTGACTCAGCCATCCATAATGGTGCCGATGGCTTTCAAACACAAGCCATCAGCGGCGGGGCTGGCGGATCCGCAGACAATGCCGCTTCGCGCGGGGGCGGCGCGCGGGGACGGCGACACCAGATCCCTGGACTGCGTCGGACTCCCTATCTGAAGCTCTTGCTCGTCCGGTGCGACGACAACGACACATACAAATCGCAGACGCGCTCCGAGATTCGCGAATGGGTGAAGCAGAATACCTCCAGCTCCAAGAAAACGAGCCACGCCGAGAACCACGACGCCTTCGAATGGCTCATTGTTCACGTTGTTATCCCCAACACGGTTGCTGCCACACAGCCAAGGGTCACAGGGAAGGGCGACTCCGCGTCCGAAGCCAAGGTGACATCGCGATGGAGAGGTAGCACCTCGACCTTACTGGAAAAGATGCTGGCAGACTTCAACAGCTCACCCAAGGGCGCCGTTGATCGCGTCGCACAAATCCGCATCGGCATCAACGATGTCCCCTACGACCTCCTCCCTCGAGTTGTGCCCGCTGTCCCGACCGGATACTCGGAGACCGCCCAGGACATTGAGAATGCCTGGGCCGATTTGATCGCTAAGATGAAAGCCTGGATTCTGTCCTCGTTTGACATGCGCGTCAGTCAGTACGAGGAAGACATCAAAGAAAAGGACGCACAGCGTGTTCTCCCCGGCTGGAACTTTTGCACCTTCTTCATCCTCAAGGAAGGCCTAGCCCGAGGCTTCGAGAGCGTGGGGCTCGTGGATGACGCCCTGGTTGGTTATGACGAGCTGAGCGTGGGATTGGACACCATTATCCAGGACCAGGCCTTGTCGGGATTGGCAGAGGCTCACGGGGGAACCTTGTTGGGCTATACTGAAGAGCTGAGCCGGATCGCCCACCGCGCACTGGCGGCCATTGAAAGCGGCGCTGATGATGAATATGCCCTGGAAGACGAAAAGCCCGTGGATTTGCAGTCGGGAAACCCCAACGCTTCCGGCGATGCCCTAGCTGCATCGCCCCTCGCGCTCCATCCTGACGACGGGCACGATGTGGACATCCCAATCACAGTCAGCAAGAAGCCATATCGGGAGCTGATCCTGGCCAACAATGTGTCGGTGTTTGATTTTAGGTGCTACATATTTGCGAGGCAGATAGCTCTCCTCTTCCGACTCGGCAATGCGACAGCAACCCGAGAGGAACTCCTAGCCAAGACCAGGGAGCAGCAACAATCGCTGTTGCATGGTGTCGCACCGCGGACCCCCCATATTGGCAGCAACAAACCCGCCAACGAGGCTGAGAACCTTTCCATGCTCGCTGAGGTGTGCCGACGAACTCTCGAGTTTATACCATCCGTATCGCAGGTCATGCGACGAGACATTCTTGCCTGTCTCGCCGACCCCAAGCGCCCTGGCGGCGTGGGAGCGGCTGCTGAATCACCCGACGGGGCCAGGCTGCCGCCAAAATTATTGGAGATTGTCGACAACATGATCTCGTCCTTTGCCTTCTCTGTTGCACACCAAATCCTCGCGCAGACATCAACCAAGGCCCTCCCTATACCCGAGTCAACACTTGCCGTAAGCGACGACCCTGAGCCCAAGACCCAGATCCCGGAGCCGAAAACGACTATGCATCCAGCAAGAACATCCTCACACCATGCCTCTCCCGGCGCTCGTCCCCCGCCCAGTCCTGGACTATTTCCAGGCCCAGGCAAGCCGTTCGATCCTGCCAGCTCTCAGTTTTTGAAGGTCGGCCTAGAAGATCTTGCCGCTCGAAGGGCAGAGCTTTATACGCTCTCGAGGAACATACTGAAAGACTGCGGAAAGAAGCGTGGGTGGACCGATGGTTGGGACTCTGTTCCGCTGGTTGGAGAGCCTGACATCAACGAGATGGAGGAGGTGGATCTTGATGACGACAAACCTGAGGATGGAAAAGACGGCGAAGCTGGCGAGTCAACCGTAACAGCGCTGGAAGATACAAGTTCCCACTCTCTGGCCGGCGTCGGCAACAGGCTTCTCCGAACTGCGCTTGATCAGAAGGACGACTTCTATCGACTGTACGAAACGCTGACGCTCAAAGCGCTTCGTCACTACGCCGTCGCAAGCTATACGCACTCGGTCAAGGCAAACACGGTGGATATGGCCGTGCTCAAATATCACTTGCGAGAGTTCGGAGAGGCAACCTCACATTTTGTCAACGCCATACCCTTCTTTGCCGAGAGGGGCTGGAGTCTGCTTGAACTATCAATGCTCGTCATGTACTCGACGTGTTTGAAGGAGCTGGAAAAGAGACAGGACTACGTCAAAGTTGTCCTGAAACTCCTCTCCAAGGCTGCCATGGCTGAGCATGATCGTCAAAAACAAAACAAATCAGCCCGGCGCGCGAGCACACTCAGCTTTCCAGACACTGCCGCAATCAAGGGCTTCCTTCCTGACGTTATGCAGACGACGAAGGATATGGCGCAAGACATACCTGTGCCGCTGCGCGACTTCTTTTTCGACATCGGTGTTGACGGGCCTCCGAGATACGTTGAAGGACAGGACAGCTTCTCGCTCAGCCTGACGCTATGCAGCCTCCTCGTGGACGACCTACAGCTTGACGATGCTATGATTAGGATGACGAGCCTCAGCCCTGGGGGGACCAAAGAGATATGGCTAGCCAGCAGAGGGCCCATCACCCTAAAGCCTGGCAGGAACAAGATCGAGCTTCACAGTAACGTACGCTGGTTCACGGCCGCAATACACGACCTTTCCCTCCCGCGCCCCGGGTTTACGTCACCAGCGGGCTGCTTTCTAACCTGATCATGCGTGTCCAGATATCTGTCCCGGGCACATACGAAGTGGACCAAGTCAAGCTTCGATGCAACCGTGTTCTCCTTCACCATGAACGGCCGCAAAATACCCTCGAGCCCGACTTCCTTTCCAACACTAAAGTGGTGATATTCCAGACGGCTAAGGCACTGGACGTGCAGCTTTCCGCTGCGAAACACATCCAGTTGGATACAACCAACTGTCTCGAAGTGAGCCTCTCAACTGGCTGGAACCATGTGACAAGTTGCGATCTCCGAGTACGAGCTGCAACAGGTGGACTACGGCTGCTCACTGCCGAAGCCAAACTGTCAGAGCCCACAGATGATGGTGCGATGAAGTCTTTTGGGCCGCCAGATGGAGGCCTCTTCCACCTGGGCGCCCTGGGAAAAGATGCATCCGTGAGGTTACAGTTTCCATACACAGTGGAACAGGAAGTTCCAACTGTCGCCGTTCGCATAGAGGTGTTGTATTGCACCGAGGAGGGGGGACCGACATTCGAGTTCGTAAAGACACCGTCAGTCGACATTGCTCTCGCACTTGGGGTTAATGTTCAGGACGTCTTCAAGCACAATGCCTTGTTCTCCCGATTCACCGTATCAACTGCCAGCTCTAGCCCTCTGCGGTTGTTTGCCAGCGAGCTGATAGAGTCGGACCTTTTCGCTCCCGATTTCGGAGGAGTGTCGCCGCCCACCAACAACGCACATCAGGGAGGCGACGACAGCGATGCCATCGTCGTATTTCCACGCCAGCCAGCCAGCCTTCTGTTCAAAATCAGCCGAAAGCCTGGTTCAAAGGTCATCGGGCCTAAAACCCGGAAAACTATGTATCTGAAGCTACACTACAGTGTTGCGCAGGAGGAAATCGAGTCAACCATCCAGGCTTCCCTGGCGGAAGCATTTAAAACGCGCACGGATGCAGGGGACACCGATTCCCTACAGCCGTATTCCAGACTGGCTGTCAGCACCGCTCACACACACGTGCGAAGCGGATCAATCTCGGCTTATGAGATGGAGAGAGCAGTGATGCTGGGATCCGTTTCGACTTCGTTCCTCGCAGGCGTTCTCTGGGAGCAGGAGTTTTCGGCTTTGGCGAGCCACGGAATAGGCAACGGCGGACACGCGCTCGAACTGGCCCAATTCATGCGGGCGTGGCAGGAACGGCACCCACAACTATCGTTAATTGTGCCGAAGCCAAACACGACGCAACTGCGCTCCATATCCATCCCGGTCGATGTCCCTTCCATCACGATTGTCCACACAGCCGATATCCAGCTTGACCGACCCGCAGACCCTGCTACTGGCGTACCGGGGCATGCCGGCAAGGCCAACGTGGCGGTCAACCAGCTCATGCCGGCCATACTGCGCCTGAAATGGTCTCGGATTTGGGATACGGGAGACCCAGACACCGACATCCCCGGGCCGCCGGCTGCGGAAGACCTCGAGTTCACGTACGAGGTGACGGCGCCACAAGACACGTGGCTGCTTGGCGGACGGCGCAAGGGGAACTTTGTCATCCCCGGGGTTTCTGATCCACACAACACGGCGGCGACAGATGCTTATGCCGAGGGGGTACTGTCGACGGCCCAGACCGAAGCCGACATACCCTTGCTGCTAGTTCCGCTGCGGGAAGGATGGCTGGCTTATCCATCTGTCGAGATTCGCGAGGTTCGAGGAGGGCTGTCGGGCATCGAGGGCTCCGAGACGAGCCCTGTTGTCACGGAGCACCGGCGACAAATGACAGTCGATACGATTGACCGTGCCGTGCATTGTGAGACGGACTACAAGAATCTAGGCGAGACGATCCACGTTGTGACCAGTCGGCAAAAGGTCACGCTCAGCCTGGACGCCAGCGGGCCAGGAGGGGGACCGTTGGTTCTGGAAAGCAAATGTTGAGGCGTATCTAGGCGAACAAATAAAGCTAACAAGTACTTCTTCCATGGAATGCGACTAGTGCAGCCGGTCACAATGCCCTCCCATTCTAGTTTCTAGCCTTGCCCAGCTTTGCTCTCATTTGCTTCGCGGCGACAAGCTCGCGGAACTGGTCTTGCATGCCAGTATATTGCGTCGGGTAGGTCGGGGCAAACAACTTGTCGAACCAGCTCCTTTGCCTCTGATGGACCGTGATGCCGAGGTCGTTGAGCAAAACATTGACGTATGATATGAAGTCGTAGATGCCGTATGCGTTCTTAAGGCCCTGGACAACGTATCGCTTCCGCGTCCAAACGTTCCACGTCGCCACGTCGGTTTCCATGTCCAGCTTCGAGGGCAGGTCCAGCAGGCCCAGCAAAAATGCCACGCCCCACAAGGCCTGTGTCTCGGACACGACAGGCGTGTAGATGGAGTGGGTGAAGCCGGGGAAGTAGACGGGCCGGTCGCCTTCGGCGGCGAGCGTGGGTGAGGTCAGCCACCGGTAGTGCCGGTTCGGCCCGTGCAGGAGCTTGCGGCCGCCGGCCGTCTTAGCCGGCTGCTTGCCGCCGTGGAGCGCCGC